ATCTTAACAACCCAATGTTGTAGACCTTAGATATTTCAAACTATGAATTAGAAAATTGGGATTTGTTGCAAAGACTCAATTCCTTTGCTTTAAAATACTTGTACGTAAAATCAAAACTAGAGGAACTAAGAGGTCACAAAGTCGTTCTAGTGTCGGATAAATTTTACCTTCTCCTTCTTTCTAGTTTGCATTGTGTTATCAAATAAACATAAATCAATACAATATGACATATTGCAGGGGGCATAAGTTCCTCACAGGGTTTATATCCTATTTCTAACACAATCAGGTTTGTGCACAAATTGAAAGATTTGGTCTTAGGGGCACATTCACTATTGAGAGCAGAAGTTGACAATAACAATTGTTAACAATGTTTATCAAGCATGACCAGGACAACAATTCCTGTCATTTAAATTATTTCCAGTATTTTTTTTTAATAAAAACACTTAGTGTTTTAATAACTATTTTAGGTTTTAAAGTATTGTACATATTGTGAACTCGAATCTGTCGAATCTGTCGAATCTGTCAACGCAACTTTCACTTTCACAATAATGTATTTCTTGAAGAAAAATAATTCAACTGCAGTATCGATTTAACACGTGGTTGAGAATTAGCCAAGGCTTTAAGTGTTTTAGAATCTGAAATAAAAAATACTTATTGAATTGCATCTTTTTTGTAAAACTGTTTTTCATTATAGCACTGGAATTACACATTTTAACAAACATTTTTTGTAATAACCACTGAAATTTTTAACATAACTATTTTTGCTTCTAGCGCCATTGAAACACAAATTTGAATTTTTTTTAATATCAACTAGCCCCAGTAATTACACTTTCTTCTATGGAACTGTGTTCTTTAAACTGCTAGAGTTAGAAATCTCTTAATATTTTTTTTTCTGGAATTGCTTCGTCGGCAAAAATCTACAAGTGAGTCCATTAAAGAAATTTTCATTTATAATTATAGTGGGCGGCGATCCAATTGATATCCATTAGTGATATTTGCAGAAAGGTTAAAGCGCAGTTTCAGAGATGGATTAATTAAAAAATATTAAGTTCAGAGATATAGATTATATTCTCTCCTCCGATCTGGAAATATTTAGTTTGTAAACACTACATCACGTTGATTTTTTCTCACAATTTCTTTTATGTAGATTTTAGCGGTTGAAAAAAACATACCTAAAGTGCTTGCTTCCAGTGGTTGAAGAAATAAGTTTAAAATTTCAGTCGTTGCATTGAAGGAAAAAAAGATGTGCGATTTCATTGGTTAAAGAATTTCAGCTTGTGAAATAAAAAAATATACCAAAGGTTGAGAGAAAAAAGGCATTCTAAAAATTCTTGATTTTATCTGCTGAAGAAAAAGAAGTTACATAAAAAAGGTTTTTTCGAGCAGTATTTTTCCAGGCTTTTTTAAACTGCCTAGTCTAAACTAGATCTCAACCCTTCATGAGACCGCTGTCGCGTTTCTTTTTCTTTCTCCAGAGCACACTCATCGTATCGAGGATATTTGCATGTCCTTAGATTCACCCTGCATTTATTGCCACCTTCCTAATGAAGCATTTACCGATGAGTGCTGTCAGCTGTGTAAGAAGATATTTCTATCCTTTAGTTTAACCATCCTTGAACAAAACCTGTAGAAACTTGAAGAAACTTGTTTTAAGAACAGGATTTAGACTGATACAAGATTATACAGGCTGTCCCAATAAACATGGGAATTCAGTCAGAGGCGTATACGATGTCCAATGTACCTTTGAAACCTTCATTTCTCCATCGTTTCTGAAGCAAGAAATGCGCGAGTGACTTTTTTAGAGAAACCACAATTAAAAATATTCAGTTTTCAAAATGGGAAACATGTATGTTTAATGCAATACTTGATCAGACAAAGCTTTGAAGGGTATTGTTGTGAATCAGAATATATTTCATTTCTTTTTTTAATCTTTTAGTTTGGGTGAGTGCAATGCAATGCAATGCAGAATGTAGATTGCCTGAGGAAGGGACATGCAAGCAGATGTGATATTAAATGAGCCCCACCCCATGCGTGCCCCCCCCTCGTACGCCCCTGTGTCAGATTCACAACGGTACTCTTAAAAGCTTTTTTCTGATCAAGCATGAATTGGATATCAATGTTTATAATCTTGAACACTATTTATATTCACTTGTGGTTTCTTCACATAAAGAAATTGTCAGATATCAACGTTTAAATAAACTTAGAAAAACGACAATATCTTCCACACTATTGATCAGATAAAGGTTTTATGGGTATCGTTGTGAATCGGGCATTGTCGAGTCATCCTTTGCATGTAGGAATAAGGTAGGAAGAAAGAAAGAAACAATACCGTTTCCATTCTTAGCTAAATAACAAATGGCTACCAGAAAAGTTTTTAGAAAAATATTTTACCTAACCGTTAACAAACAACAAAAAGTCTGAACATGGCCAGCCCTACTTTTAATAGTTCTCATTTATCGAGGGTTTATCTGATTAAATGGGTGCATTTTCAAAATTAATAAATGTCGAAATTTACATCTTTTATCTTCGAACAGTCATGAACTTTGTGAGTTTTCACAAAAAGATTATTGGATACAAGCAAACAGATAAAAAGACAAGTAAAGCATAAATAGAATGAAAGGCCAAAATGCGATATTACAAGTGTGTTTTTGTGACCTCGTAGTCCTATGTTTTATATTACACCCAGCTATATAGGGAAGAACATTTATTTTATTATTATACTGTAGAGGAACTCCAGAATGTTGTCTTTGCTTTGAGCCTAGTCCAAACCAAATATATAAACATTTAACATCATGTTGTATTTTAGATTCAATATACATTCCATTTTGTTCTTTGTGCCAAAATTTTGCTTCATTCCTGGATCCCTGTGTTTAGAGTTCCTGCAGTTATCACCAGCAACAGAGAAGCTCAATTCACACGTTCAATTTTATTTTCTTTGTGCAAGTTTCCTGGAATTGTACATTCACCAACTAGATCTTTCCATCCTCAATCCAATGTACATTCACCAACTAGATCTTTCCATCCTCAATCCAATGTACATTCAAAAACTAGATCTTTCCATCCTCAATCCAATGTACATTCACCAACTAGAGCTTTCCATCCTCAATCCAATAGCATTGTGGAAAGATTTCACAGACAGCTCAAAGTATCCTTGCAAGCTAGATTAGCTGGGACTGATTGGTATGCTAACCTGTTCCCAGAGAAGATTCCTCAGTTTCCTCCTCTGAAGCTTTGTTTGGTGCCCCATGGTACTTCCTGGTCAATTCCTGGATAGTCCTCAGCTCCCTGCAGAAGAATATCTCTGACGAGTTCAGCAAGTTCTCAGAAACTATCCTGTTTCTCCGCCTCATCAAAAGTCTTCTGCTGAAGTACCAAGTTCGACAGTTCCATCTTCTCTCCTGTCTTCAGCTTATGTGTTTATACAAGAAGACTTGTCCAATTACCTCTGCTGTCTCCGCTGTACAGAGGTGCGTACAGAATACTGACTGTCTCAAACCCCAAAGTATTTTATCGTCCAGATTGGTTCAAAACAAGACTCTGTCTCTGTTGATCGTTTGAAACCTGTCCTTTCAGAGACTCCAGTAATCCCTCAGCTTCCACCTCACAGAGGTCGTCCTCCGGCTCTAAAACTTCCGCCTCTGAGACCGCCAGCTCCAAAACCTCTGACTCAGATATCTCCGTCAATAATTACAAAGCTTCCAACATCTCTAACAAAAGGTATTAAACCGAGTAAACATGTTGGAATATCTATTTAATTTATCTGATTGGGAACAAGAAGGAATCCAAGACATTCTGTAAGAGAAAAGCCTCGATCTCTTCAACTTATCCTGTAGTTCGATGCTGGGGGAACTAGAGTGTCGTCTTTGTTCTGAGCCTAGCCCAAACCAAATATATAAAGATTTAACATCATGTTGTATTTTAGATTCAAAATACATTCCGTTTTGTTCTTTTTCTTGTTACTGTCGCTACAGTATACTTCAAAAATTTTTTACTTCTCGACAGCTCTTTAAAAGAGAAGCCATAATTTCAACCAAACACGAAACTTACATTGCTACAGGGGAGTGAAAACTGTAATAAATAGCTTTTTAGAAATAGAATGAAAATATAAAATTTTCTAGTGGATCCATTAAAATAAAATCCTGTAAACGCCTAAAATCCGTGTTTCATGAAAATCAAGGCAGTTTTACAGCTTTATAGCCTTGAAACGCTTTGGCCTTTGATTTTACCGTACTAACTCAAAATTTTTGTAGAGATTTTTGCTTGAGAGTGTGAAAATTATGGATTACTGTGAAATTTTCATCCTTAACTGTAGTACTGTTTAAGTCACATTAGCATCTGTTAGCAGGACAAAGTATTATTATTATTAAAGTTGGTATAAGGTCAGAAGTTCAGTAGAGGGGATGTTGCGTATAGATGGTGTAAGATTACCCCATGTATTATTATTATTATTAAAGTTAGTAGGTCAGAAGTTCAGTAGAGGGTATGTTGCGTATAGACGATGTAACATTACCCCAAGTATTATTATATAGGTCAACTTTTCAAGTAATGGTTCTGATTTTGTTTTCAGTTTCTTTATTTAAAATCCTAATCCTAGTACACATTAACGTGATCTAGTAAAAATATAGAAGAACAAACATGAACAACCGGGGGTATACGTTAAGAAGCTAAAGGGAGGGAGGGGGGTGGATTGTCTACCCCCTGTTCTCCGTATTATTTGACCTAGGTTTGAACTTGATTAGTGGCCGTGGGCGCTATCCTAGAGAAACCTGGGTTAATCCAACCTAGGATCAGAGAAACTTGGAGACGGTTTGGTGAGGGGAGGGTGGGGTTAGGGTGAAAATTTGGAAAATGAAACTTTGTCAAGAAACTTTTTATTATTTTCTTTTAAAAAAGTTCTCTTGAATTACGTGTTTATTTGTTTTTGTAAGAAACACGCACTCACGGTCAAAAATCAAAATGTATGTAAATGCGCGAAATCAAGTAGCGCGTGTATATCCAACTCCTGCAGCGCGTCCTCGTATTCTTTACTTAGTTTAGTTTTGATAGTTCAGGGGTAAACACACACCCAGCACTACCTGTAATTAATAAAATGTTGACATTAGGAATGAAATTATTTTTCATTATTTTTTTCCACCTTAAATAAGATTTCAAAGAAAACTGATGATTAAATGAGAATTGATTTTTCTATGATGCTATAATTGTAAATGTTTTTTGATTAAAATAATTACTGTGATTGTAGTTTGCTTTATTTCCTGTTTAGCAGCTGTACAAGCTGCAGTACCAAGCTTCGGAGCGTGTCCAAATGTCAGAGGTAAATAGTATACAGATGTATGTACATTGTTCGGATGTAGGTGCAGAAAACAATGTATGTACGTACGTACAACTAAAAAACAGCATATTTATAGTACATTTTTAAATTTAAGAAATATTTATTATTATCTTTATCTCAATTATTATTATTATAATCGTTATTAGTATTATTTTTTCTACTAATATTCTATCTTTATATTACCATAAAATAATTATGTTAACGATATTTTTCCCCAGGAATGACTAACTTTAACAAAAACAGTTATCTTGGAGTTTGGTATGAGTACTCTAACGTTTTCGAAATTTTTCAGATAGGTAACTCAATTACAATATCTAAGCTAATTAGGCTATCAGGATGCTTCGCAACCATCTTCTATTTCAAATTCTAATTGATGCTTAATATATCAAACTGATAAATAATTTTCTCTACGATAAAACAATGCAAAAACAAATTGGCGGATTTACAATTTCTTTTCGTGGATTTTCAAAATTTTACGAAAATTAAAAATTTCTGGAGTTTTTTAAACTCGGAGTGTCCTGGAGTCATACTCATGTGAGGCCCCACAACAAATTTGGACCTGATCGGTTCAGCCGTTTTTCGGTTACCAACAAACTAACAAACAGGCAATCCTACGTTTTGACTTTTGATGGAAGTAAAAACTTTAGAGAATTGCAAAAATAATATATTAAGTATTTTTATCAACTTAAGATGGATTTTAATTATTTTTGTAATTTCTTGAAGCTACACGTCGAAAATGTAATTCTTTCACGCGTTCTAAATCATGTGCATATTTTGAGGTTACAATTCAATAGAAAGACATACAGGGTGTCCCACGAAACATGACAACTGGTTAATCGTTTTAAATACCTTCTTCCACAATTTGTTAAGTTGTTTACTACTAAAGAGAATAATAAATGAATATTAAATGGCAGCCATATATTATTGTAAACAAAAACGTAACGAAAAAAACTGTAAAAAGTCTTTGATATCTATTATATCTCATGGAAGAAGACATTCAAAACTATTCTCCAATGGTCATGTTTCGTGGGACACCTTGTAGTTTTCAAATATCATTCGACCGAGTAAATGTTAGATTTTTCTTTGTATAAAATCAAACAAATTTTTGTTCGTCACAGCTGCTGAAAAATAAAGATAAAAATATACATTCAATTGAGCATGATCATTAAATTCCACAGAGATTTACAGTTATGCTTTTATACATTTAGAAGTTATTGAAACTACTTTTTGAATTTGTTTGTTTCTCTTGATGGACTTAATCAATTCTTAATTTAAGGATCTAGTTGTGTTCGAAATAAATAAACATATTAAATTTAAGCAAATTTTTGAAGTCGTATCAGTCCTAAGGTAGTTTGATAACATTTACTGCAGATTTCCACTCTAAATATTTGATGATTTTTTGTTATATCTCATTCAATTCTAAGTGAATTTTTTACATTTTTTGAAAACAATAGAATAAACATTTTCCTTCCAATTTTTCCAAAAATTTAATATTATCAAAATAATTTAGCTAAGCAGACTTTTTTAATATGTTCCAAAAATATTTTTGATATTTAATCCAATTTTTATTTTTATTATGCTTCAGATCCGAACATAACAAAAATTTTGAAAATTTTATCCAAAACATAGATTATCTCGTATTTTTACTCACCCTATAGTATATACAGGGTGAGTCAAAAAAAAACCCGGGATTAACGATGTTTTGGACAAATTTTTCAAAAATTTTGTTTTTTTTCGGATTTTGGGCGTAAAAATGAAAAAATGTGATAAAAAAATTTCAAAAATATTTTTTTCGAAAAACTTTGGTTTGCCAGATTTGTTTTTAAATGTTCTAAAATTATTTTTGTTATTTTTTATCACATTTTTTATTTCTATGTCCAACATCCGAACAAAACTAAATTTTGAAAAAATTTGTCCAAAACATTGATAATCCCATTTCTTTACTCGCCCTGTATATTTAAGGATCTTCATGTGTCCGAGCAACATATACAGATCTAGGAACAAATGTAGGGGTTCTAAATGAACAAGTTAACGATCTGTAAGTAATCAATGTAATTTAAAATATTGGACAAACTTGGGATTATTGAGACAAATACTAGACAAGCAATACATAAAACAGACAAATTTTATAAGTTTTATGAAATATTAGACAAACGTATGGGATTATTGAGACAAATACTAGACAAGCAATACATAAAACAGACAAATTTTATAAGTTTTATGAAATATTAGACAAACGTATGGGAATTGATACAAAAACTAGACAACACTAGACAAACAATACTTAAGACAGACAAATGATAGAAGTTTTATAAAATATTAGACAAACGTATGGGAATGTTGAGACAAATACTAGACAAGCAATACATAAGGCAGACAAATTATAGAAGTTTTATCAAATATTAGACAAACGTATGGGAATATTGAGACAAATACTAGACAATACAAGCAATACAAAAAAAGACAAATTAAAGAAATGTTATCAAATATTAGAGCCTGTATAAATTATAAAACTGACAAAAAAACTGTTTCAAACATTTTACAAACATTGCACACTGAGCTGAATGATTGCAAGCTCTTATGCAAACATCAATGAGAATTTTTCCATTTACTTATACTTAAAACTAAAATTTTTAGTTTTAAAATGTACATGTTTAGAGCTACAAAAAAGCATAAGCAAGTAAGAGCAGCAAAGTATAAGCCTAACGCTCTGAGACACTTCAAATATCAAACATAAAAAATTGATTCAACAATTCATAGCAAGTCGAATCTATCTGTGCAATGTGCAAACAACCATACAAAAATTTCGGACCAAAAAAGTTTAACCAACTGTTTTAAATATTACATAAACAGACATTTAAATATTATAATAAACAGACATTTAAATACTACATAAAAAGACATTTAAATACTACATAAACAGAAATTTAAATACTACATAAACAGACATTTAGATATAATATAAACAGACATTGAAATACAACATAAACAGACATTTAGATATAATATAAACAGACATTGAAATATTACATAAACAGACATGAAAATCAAAACAATTGTTTTAAATATTCGACGAACTTTTATTTGAAAGAGAAATTATGCAAATTGTTCCAAATTTCAGACAAACATATAATCTTGTATTATTAGCCAAACAGTACAGTAGAAAAACAAACCATACAAACTGTTCCTAATATTAAACACACATTGGATTAGACTTAATAAGCACTAAGCTCTTGATTAGAAAGAGAAATTTAAGCATTCTTATATTTATTCGATTCTTAATAAATTATATTTTGTTCTAGAACAGGGTACGGGAACATTACTGGAACCGCAAGGAATTTATCAATTTATTGAATAAAATTTATTTAAATAAATGTTATTAAATGTAATCCTTTGAAACTTGAAAGAGTTTAATAACCTTGATATAACGGTATTGATATATGATATGAATAGACCTGCTGCTTTAAGTGGAGAATTCATTGTGGGGTTTTCATCTGTACCATGTAAGTACAAAGTTGAGGAAAGGAATCGAATCTTTGACACAAACTCAAATGTTCAATTTTTGAAACTAAAACCGTGGTTGGTGGTTCTCCCGAGAAACTCAATCTAATTTGAGGCAAATCGGTCACAAACAGAGAAGACAACTTTATAAATATAGATTCATCCCTAATTTGATTTTTCAACGATATATTATAGTTGCAAGTGGAGGCACTGAACCTAACTACAGAGTGGTAGATACCGATTACACTTCCTATGCTGTTGTCTACAGTTGTAGTCCGTTCTTTTTCTTCATGAAAAAGGGTAAATTATTTTATTTTTAGAAAATTACCAAGGTTGTGTTTTCGTAACTTCCTCTTATTTATATATTTGTCGGTTCTTTATTACAGTGCAAGGGTCGTCTTCTTTCAACTTTATTAGAATTTTGACAAGAATTTTTGAATTTGTAATTTATAACTGATATTATCTTAAACTGTTCTGGGTACATTACATGAGAGATTTAGTTTAACTGTCCATACATAGTTTAACTACTTCTCGGTAAAAAATCCACACTTTTTTCTCTCAGAGGCTTAATTATTACCTAATCATAAAAAATTACTTTTTTCAATAAAATTCGACGCCTGCCCTTTATTTCTGAATTATTATGATTATATTTAGAATCCCTTTGGTTACTCACCAGACAACAAACACCTCAGCAGTACGTTGTTGATGTTGGGTACAGGTAAATAACATATAATTAGTGCAGTACAGTTTATTACAGGTTGGTAATTACATTGACCGACTTCCGTCCAACTTTACCGACCTTTGATAACTCCAACAGATTGGGATACTAGGAAAAATAATTGCAAAATAAATGCAAAATAAATGCAAAATAAATGCTAAAAAAATGGTAAATAAATGCTAAATAAATGCAAAATAAATGCTAAAAAATGCTAAATAAATGCAAAATAAATGCAAAATAAATGCAAAATAAATGCAAAATAAATGCAAAATAAATGCAAAATAAATGCAAAATAAATGCTAAAAAAATGCTTAATAAATGCTAAATATTGTGCCAACAAAACATCTGGAGTAAAATTGGTCTAGGGAACTCTTGGTATAGTAAAATTCCCTGTAAAGTTTATTTAATGATATTTTCTATTGATATGTTGCTTAATATACCTGTATACACTTTGGTCCTCAGGCCTGTTATATGAAAATAAAATGATAAAAAAATCAAGATTTTTCTAATGATGCTTTATTCTGATATCGAATGAAAAGACAACATTTTTTGGTATATTTGTATACTTGATATTGTTGCAAAGAAAAAAGTTTTATGCATGGTAAAAAAATAAACCTATTCAGTGAAATGGGTCTGTGTACACTGCACAGATGATGTTATTTTTTTTGTTAATTTGGCTTGCTGTTTTACAGCCGTATTATTTTTAAACTGTATTGTTCTTACTTTACAAAAAATCTCAAGCTTAAAGGGACTGTAAAGGAAAAATGAAAGGGGGTATAGGCTGAAACCTGAGAATCTCAGAAGTTGAACGATATATATAAGACATCTATCTAATGTTACTGTCTCAAAATTAAACAAAAACGTATATATAAATATATCAGATTTTTTAAATTTGGTATAATTTTGGCACAGTTTTATTTAAATTTTTCGAGACAGAAACATCAGATAGATGTATAGGTTTCAGCCTATACCCCTTTCATTTTTCCTTTACAGTCCCTTGAGATAGTTGTAGTTAATTATTCCGTACAGTATAGGACATTGCATTACGGTACAGTTAATTACATTTGTTTACTATAAAGTACAGTTCATTACATTTTTGTCTAGCATAGAAAATTACATTTCTGTATAACGTAAATAACAGAACTTAACATTACAATCCGGTCTAGTAAAGTACAGAACATTACATTTCTGTAGTGCAGTCTAGTAAAGTACAGAAAATTATATGTCTTTACAGTACAGTAGAGAATATTACATTTTAGTAAAGTACAATTTAGTAAAGTACAGAAAATTATACATTTCTGTACAGTACAGTGCGGAATTTTACAGTCTAGTATTGTACAGAAAATAAAATTTCTGTACATTCCATTACAGTAAAGTGTTCCAGGTAAACAATATTATACAACACAGTACGTTAACTTTAAACAATTCAAGCTCGAATTATTTCATAATTTCAGCAAGATGAGGGCTCTGGGTCTTCCTGTGGCAGCACTCGAAAAGGAAAACAACAAATTTTTAAAAATTTAAAATTCTATAATTATACGACGTTTACCAATTATAACAAGCCAACCAACCATTTATTTTCTTAAAGGTATTATATAGATTATCAAAAATATTTCCCTTTCTAACTCGACCATATTTGGTTTTGAGTTTTATCGTTCGAGTAAAAAAATTATAATAAGCTTTATTTGTTTTGTTTTCTCAGACACCTCAGACGAATTGTATTAGGCTACCTCTACCCAGTACAACTACTGCAACTGCAGGGAAATAGATGTAAAGTGTACACAAGATTATGTACAGTGATACCCAGAAAAAATGTACTATAGGAAGACGAAATTAAAACAATAATGCACTGCATATGATGTTGTTACAAGCACATAGTTTACAAATAATTTATTGATTCAGTTATTGATAATGGTCTGTTTACACGGCACATTGATGTGCCTAATCTTAATTGAACTATTTAAAGTCATGACTTGAGTCTAAAAGCAACTTCCTATTCCAGAGTTTTTTGGTTATCACTGTACTGTATTGCTGACAGTAGAGTTGGTGTACAGTGGTCCACAATATTAATCATGAATTTGAAGACCAAACATAAATTAGAACATGGATCATGATCATGATATCGTCGAGACATGAATATTTAAACTGTTTCTTTTTAGAGCAAGTGAATTTTTTTATTTAGATCTTCTTCAATTCTACTTTATTTTTGCGACCACTGTAAGAAAGTGAAAAGGCTAAAACTGCCACGCTTGACATCAATTTTACTGTTAATATGTCATAAAAAAATTGTGTTATGTAACGTTAAGCATTGTACAGTAAGTACAAAGTTAAGGTGGGTATAATTGTACGCATATTTTTGGGACGGTTACGGGAAAAATTTTCTTACAACGCATTAAAATCAAAATCAAATTTTTTGTGAGTATTACAAAATATAGTTATCAAATAAATTTTTTGTGGACTTTAAATTATTTTGAGGATGAAAAAAAAAATAACAAGAAGTTATGAATAGCATAACAGAGTTTGACAAGGGAGGGGGTCCAGACTGCAGAGTTGCCATGAGCGCAGCAAAATGACCTCCGAAGCCTCCAGATTTGCAGAATGACCTTCTAGCCAATAATAACTTTAATTAAGATAAAAACTTCTTTTTTGTTTTTCTAAATTTCACAAATTCTTAAACTTGCGCATAACTATTGCAGCTATGTATAGTTTATATTCGTACATGATAAAAAATGACCTCCGGAGCCTCTTGATGCGCAGAATGCCCTCCAAGCTCCGCTAAAACTTCTCCGCGCCTCTCGCTACGGTGCATACGCCATTCTGTCTCCATGCTACGCATTTTGGTCTCCAATACAATACATTTGGCTTTAAAAACCACAAAATACTCTTAACGTGATGAAATAATGTTTAATGATGCATTAACATTTTGTTTTAAAAAATCTATTTTAACTAGGATTAAGACTTCTATTTTTGTTTTCTTAATTTCACAAATTCCTTCACTTGTGAATAACTTTTACAGTTTGTTATAAAGACAGAGAAATTTCATTTTTTTTTACATGTGTATCTTGTATGTATCAAACTATATTAGCACCAATTTACAAAACAATATAGCTTTTGTGAAATACTTGAACATTGCTTTTATTGCTTTTCACAAGAAAGCAAGTTAAGATCAATTGAATGGATTGATATTTGAACTTTGTAGATTAAAAGATTCTTTAGACTAAATGTGGATTCTACTATGAAGAGATATATTTTGACTTTTGGTTGGTTAAAACATAAAAGGTAAATAAAAAATAAATACAGCAAGCGGAGATAAAAATGTAGAGGCTTGGAGACGGTTTTGCGAGACTAGGAGGTAATTTTGTGTATCAGGAGGCTCCATAGTTCATTTCGCGGGGCTCATGGCAGCTCTGCTTATGCGCACTGCTCCATGGGGATCCATGATTTATAGAATTATACACACCCCTATAATAGTTTGAGTAAAAGTTTAAAATGATATGGAATTATTTAAATATTTCACAGGTGTTGTTGAAATCCGATTATACATAACAGAGAACAGAAAGATTTTTAATAATTTTTAGTGTGTTCATCCGACTAAAGTCTTTGATCCTACCTACAAAAGTCTTCAGAACAGTGACCCTTACGGTATTATCAACTAAACATACTGGCAAGATCTGCAGTTCCTGCGTTTGTCTAATTAACAAAATAGAATTTACATCCGACCTACACCTGGCATAGGTCATAAGTATCGTAAGACCGAAATGCCATAGGATCGAAGCAACATTACCGAATTCTTGCAGCACGTTCTTTACTCCTAGTAAGGGCTAGTCACGTTCTTTACTCCTAGTAAGGGCTAGTCACGTTCTTTACTCCTAGTAAGGGTTAGTCACGTTCTTTACTCCTAGTAAGGGCTAGTCACGTTCTATACTCCTAGTAAGGGCTAGTCACGTTCTATACTCCTTGTAAGGGCTAGTCACGTTCTTTACTCCAAGTAAGGGCTAGTCACGTTCTTTACTCCTAGTAAGGGCTAGTCACGTTCTTTACTCCTAGTAAGGGCTAGTCACGTTCTATACTCTTAGTAAGGGCTAGTCACGTTCTATACTCCTAGTAAGGGCTAGTCACGTTCTATACTCCTAGTAAGGGCTAGTCACGTTCTATACTCCTAGTAAGGGCTAGTCACGTTCAATACTCTTAGTAAGGGCTAGTCACGTTCTATACTCCAAGTAAGGGCTAGTCACTTTCTATACTCCTAGTAAGGGCTAGTCACGTTCTATACTCTTAGTAAGGGCTAGTCACGTTCTATACTCCTAGTAAGGGGTAGTCACCATCTATACTCCTAGTAAGGACTAGTCACGTTCTATACTCTTAGTAAGGGCTAGTCACGTTCTATACTCCTAGTGAGGGCTAGTCACTTTCTATACTCCTAGTAATGGCTAGTCACGTTCTATACTCTTAGTAAGGGCTAGTCACGTTCCAACTTTTCTTTGCCGTTTCATTAACGGTTGGTTCCAGCTGTAGATAAAAATTTCAGGGAGACGTTAGTTTCAATGGTGAGAATAGAATATTTATTTCGTTAACGGTATTTTCCGATTTTCTAAAGTTACCGTTAGTTAAGTCTCGATTTATTTAACAACAGTTTTTCAATATACGTTAAGAAACTACGCAAAGTGCAAAATAAGTTTCTTTAACGGCTTGTCGAATCGTTAATGGTTGTTTGTAGTATTAACGGCGTTAACGGTTTGCCGAAACTAAAAAATTCAAAGGTTGTCCAATTCATTAAATGGAATTGTTTGTAAACTTTTTATGAAAAACAAAATCCTTGAATTATTTGAGAGTTAATCACACCACCAGCCGTTTGTTTCTGAAGCATGCATAAACAGCGAAACTTGCAAGTAATAAAAAATTAACTTGGTTTGTTTTCCAACCTTCAATAAGGTTGAACAAAAATTTGAAGTTTATTAATTCCAAAATTGTTTTTATCTACTAAACATTGGCTTTCCTTATATTAAGTCGAATTCTGACCCCGATAAAAAATACTCATTTATAAAAGTTCTAAAAATTCATAATTTTGTTGTTAGTTCAAGCAGTAATAATTTTAACCGTTTCGTTTTCGTTTTCAATTGTTATTTTTTTCTTTCAAAAACGGATAATCCTTTTCATTACCGAATAAAAAATCAACGGTTTTTGCCGTTCATTAACGAACTCGTCAGTTAATGTTTGAAAACCTCCGGTACGTTACATGAACTTTAATTAGGTTAAGGCTAATTCAATACTTCTCTTTGTCCTTCGATTAAGTAAATGCTTGATTCAAGACTGCTTAACAAACTGTGTGGAATGTGACCTTAATTGTCTCGCCGAGTTCAACCACATTGGTCAATACAGGAAAATATATAACCTTGCTTGTTTAAACACATCTAACCAAGTTAACAGGATTAAGTACATTAAGATCTTAAATAGTGCTCGACTTTTAGCCATTTATTTTCAAATTGAAAAAATAACGACATCTTTTTTAATAACAGTACGATGTATTGTGTATATATAAATGTTTGATACACCATGTATTTTGTATGTATAACGTGGATTTAACGGCTCTGTCAATATTCCAGATGGCTGTGACTTTCGATAGCCTTTTTTCTCAAATACTGTTTTGTCGGCATATGCATTTTGAATGAAAAAGTATAGAATAGCCAATCCGTAAGTTAAAAGATGGTTGAATTATAGACCAAAGCAAGTTTGATTTTAAATAGAAGCCGAATGCTTCTCACTCTGGTTAGTCAGGGGTGATATGGTCTTAGTAATATAGCGCATCCTCTTGGTTTAAGCTTTACATTCTAAAAAATGAACGGCCACAGAATTTCTTTTGGAAAGTCTATGTCTATGGAGGGAGGGGGTGCAGAGCCACATTGAGCACCGCGATAAGATCTCGAGCCTCCTGATATACAGAATCACCTCCAAGCCCCCTTTAATGGTTCTACAGTCAGTGACAAAAACCTCAACAAGTCACAAACGTTAGTTTCCAGAATTCTAACTCTTAGTTTAAAAAAATCACTAACGCTATTAACTAGAGAAGCCATCTTATAGTTTCTCGAGAAAAAAATGAATGAAAAAAATTTCCAATTTAAACATAGTGAATATTGGTTTTCCTTGAGCATGTTGTATATTTTCTAAATCAATATCAAAATTATTTATTAATAATTTCATATTACGAACAATTGGATAGTTTTATAAAATTTTGTAGGGGCGGACTGGTCGCCTTTTCAGAGTATGGTGAATATAGTGCGTACTTATTTTAATTATGAAACTTTTCATAATACAAGAATCCTAATAAACATGAAGTTTAAGCGACGAATTCGAAATCGTCTTCGTCTAGAATTAGCGTTGTATCAACTTTTTTCAATGGTTGCAGTGCATGAATAAACGTAACATTTCTGAAAATGAACAGCAAAGATAACAACATACTTTGTTTGTATTTAGGAATTTCTCTTTTTACCAAGTCAACAGTAAACATTAATGCAGTGAAAACATGAACAAACAAATTCTTGACTCTAGCAGACATTTAAGATTTTTTCCTTTCTCCATCTTACATCCAAATATCATTTAGTTTACTAAGGCGACATCAAATCATCACTTAATTCTCAAGTTTATTCAATCACCCTGTTTAAAATACAACCTCCTGCTCCTGCCAAACCGATTAAGCTGAGAAATTGCAACTCAATCACCAAGTAAAATAATAATTTAGAATATGACGACGAGGCCTCTCCATTATCTTCATTAATCTCAAAAATCCACTGATCTTATAAAAACATACATAAAAATAAACAAGAAATATTAACAAACAATAAAAAAACTTGTATGTCTAATCAAATCTAATTCAGAAAGAATAATCGTGTGTTTAAATATTGAGAAATACAGGTGAACCCACGAAGGATAATACTATAAAGACGATCTAGAACTCTTTGAACGATCAGATGACTAAACTCGAACCGTTAAGCAGTTTCATGAACTGAATCAAATCCGCGATAATCTCTTCATGTCCGATCTTTGTGGGCATCCCTGTATACTGTACGTACAACAATAAATTTCATATCTTTCTCCTTCCATCAGTTAACTTGGACGGAGAAAAACAACTATTTTTAAAAGATTTATAATCCAGCTTTCTTCCTTTCCTCCTCCTCCCTCTCCTTCAAGATATCTCTCCAGTTTTTATCCCCATACGCAGCAACCTTAACAAAGATGGTGTCTTTAACAATTTGTAGCATTTTCTGTTGTAATGCTTATCACGATCTTTATTATCTATGTTATCAATATATGTCTTATCTATTTCAATGTTGCTCTGACTCTGAATTTAGTACTACATCAACCTTCGTATTACACGGACGAATATAGAGCCTTGAGTTTTGGCTAGAGTTGAGAGCCTTGAGTTTTGGCTAGAGATAGAGTCAGTGAGACTATAATTAGACGTTGAGTAGCGTAATCTCAGGACCTAGATTTATTACAAATTCACACTTCGGTCTCTAAAACCCCCCCCCCCCCCCCATGTGTTACAACAATTGTTCAATTTGCCCCACTGAACCTTCTCTGAGCTATGATGGACTGAATCATGCTTGAATTAACTCATCTAAATAGAGCGGGGTTTGGAGACACAAGAACAGCAACTCAGAGAAACTGGGAAATTATAAATTTTGCGAGCCATATGATGAGTGAACTCCATTGGTCTGAAACTGGCAGTGAGAGAGAGAGAAAAAGAACGAATTAAGAGCGAAATTAAAAGTGTCCAAATTGGATATTCAGATTGAGAGATCGGAATTAAAGGTATCCAATTTTGAAGTTTTCAGCTTATGACAGCAAACCAGGTCAACCCAAACATCGTTTAGCTGGGAATGTGCAGCACGGGCAGCCGTAGTACATTTGAATATCCGATATGGGTCAAACTTTCCGGTCCCAGTTTGTATTGCACCGCACAGACATTGGGTTAATAAGGAAGACAATCAACAGGACTAACCGGTACAACAAGGTTGACGCGGTCAGAAAGCTTCATATAGATTGAATTTACATTTACTAAAGGGGAAGAGGTGCGTGGCAGATGGGCGGGATGTCTAATCCAATGCGCAGTTTTAACTTTGCGATGATAAATAAATTAACTGCTTATAAGATTTGGAAATCTTATTGTAATTTTAGCTTTAGCTTGAATTTATTACAGTCTATAATTACTAAAACTATTTTGAAATAAATCTCTAATTTATTGACAGCTAAGCCTTGCCCGGAAACTAAAGATTTGTTAAGGTTCAAACCGCTAAATTTTGGCTTTAAGAGAACAATGAGTATTTTTTTTATTCGGGGGAGGGGATATTAAACAGCATAATTAACATTAATAACAAAAATACAAGGTCAACTATTATTTAATAAAAATCAAGTCTGAGCCCCCCTATTTTAGATATTTTTTTCTCCCCAGTCTTTTAAAAACTTTGGTCACAAAGAGATAATCGTAGTAAAAAATTAGTACATGAAATCTCGAAACTGATTGACCCCCCCCCCCCCTCATTAGACATGATTGGTAAATCAAAATTAATGTTATCATGTGATATTATACTACTGACCTTTGCTGCCACAGTTTTCACTCTTTTTTCTGCAGCTTCCTTGTTTTGCCGGGTTCTTTCCAATCTTTCTTTCTAATTAAACAAAATTTTAAAATCGTTTCTTTTGAAAATAAAAATGCCAAATTTGTTGTTGATCCGGATCATGGATCTGATCTGCGAAAAATCGATCCTACAAAGTTTTCTTTATAATGTTGTAACTTGATTGGATTCAATGTTGAGATATTAGGAACATTTCCCCCTCTATCTTTGGTATGTTGTCTTACAGTACTTAAAATTTGTGTAAGTATAAATATCTACTATATTTTCTCTGATGCCCTGAAAATGTGTGTGAATCCGAACCCATGGGAATAAATATGTATATCTATATTAATAAAAATATTGAGGCGTAAGATTCTAAACGCTACCATAGTTAAATATTTTTCATTTTAGACTTCAAATCAAATCAAATCAAAACAGTTATTAACAAAACAATAAGGCATTACATATATGTAATGCTTCAGCAGGAGAACTTTGATAGCTCGGAGCTGATTTCACAAAGCTTTCCTGTCTTCTTTGAGATAATAATTTTTACAAGAAAGTTAGAGATGACTAAAATATTTTTTTCTAACTAACCCTTGTGCAATCTCTCATAGCCCAATCCAGCTGATTACAAACTCCAAAGAATTGTCTGAACAAGGAATATTCCTCGTGGCATCTTTTCAAATCTCTGACAGACAAAAAATTATATTTTTATTAAAAAAACAAAATATTGCTTATATTCTTATTATTTCTCTGCTCCGAAAATGTCAAAACTTCTACCTATTGGTAGTCGAAACCTTGATATACAAGTTTCGTTTAAATCCTTCCTGATCAAAACTTCAAAAATCAAGAATTATTCCCCCGAAAAAGCTTTTTTTGCGTTCCTTATGATCACATTGCATTCTTCAGTGTGGAGATGTTCATCTAGGGGGACATGCATTTTCTCTGTAATTATATTGATATTATTATAATATTAATAATTATTGTTTTTATTAGACTTCATTTCAGCTTTTAAACCGGGGGCATAAGCGGATATTTTGAATATTCATGATTCTCATTTTTCAAATGAATTGGTAAAAAAATATTTCACAGAACGTTAAAATTACTTAAATTAACTTAAGCAAAAGTTCCTAATGATCATCTAAACATAAAAAATTTAGAATTTAAACAAATGAACAAAAAAAATATTATTCCAAAGATTAATATTACAAAAGCATATTTCACTAAAATGGATGTTTTTTAAATATTAACTCTCTCCCGCCATAAAATTGGAGGAACTATATTTTTTGAGATGATCTAGGCAATTCTATTGATTTATACAACGTTGATGTTATCATGAACATGATGTTGATAATGATAGAGCTGATCTAGGCAACGTAGTTGTACTGGTTGGAGCTATCCTTGTCCCTCTGCATGTAGTCTCGATCTATCAAGGATTCTATCCTTTTCTTCAAATCTATACAATTATTTATTAAAAACATAACTATAAGATCAATTGAAAATTTATATTCGTTCTATTTTTGCTTTTGAAAAAAAAATCTCGATTACTATTGAAGACGTAAGCTAATTTACGCTTTAGAAGCTGAAATTTTGAAAAAACCGTCATAAATCTCGAAAATCATCATTATTTTCGACCTAAATTCTTTCCACTGAAGAGAAGCATATTATTTAAATGATGTTGGCATTTTCAAGAATTTCAGCATATAAGTTTGTTTGCTGACTCTAAGAGAGTCTTTCGCGGATTTGTCCAACGGGAAGCGGATTTGTCCCGAAAGAGCCAACGGGAAATCCCAAAACATGTCAAGTTCTCCTACCTGTTGGTTTGACCGGGAACTCTAGCTGGTTAAATAACTCAGTGAGAAGAAGATTATGGTTCAAAGTTTTCCTCGTCTTCATAATGCGCACAATTGCCGCGTCAATCTGATATTGTCGATCCTGGTACACACTCTCCTCTGTAGCTTTCTGCTCGGCATTCGTTTCCTTCATCTGGACCTAGTTTATACAAAAGTATCAACCAACCAACCAACCAACCAATCAATCAATCAACCAGTGTCCAATTTGATCAATTCGCATTTCATAGCTGTGACACTACAAAGATAAAATTTGACATATTAAAAATCAAAGATTTAAAAGATAAGAAGAATAGAAAGTATAGTGTAAAGACGGACATTAACAGATCATTCATGAAATTTAAAGGATAAACATTTTATGATTAGAAATTTGAACATTGGACAGATGAACATATTTGTAACTACCTGATTAATTTTGATTTTGTAGAGAGCATTCGTGAACTCGTTGTTGAAGACAAACTTATCTCCGTCCAAAATATCCTTCCCCTTCGGAATCTTCGTCAACACACGGGCCTTGCCACACGCCAAAGACTTAACAAAGAAAATTGAGTCCAATAATCAAAAATTCTGTTTGAATGAGCACACAATGAATGAATAGATGAATGAATAAATGAATGAATGTATGTATGTATGCATGTATGTATGAATAGAACCTGCAGTGTTCTCCTGATCTCTCCATCTTCAATGTTTGTGCTCTCCTTCAATTCATCTAGTGTCAGTTCATCGCAGTCGTTAAACATCAACAAACACAGAGCTGAATAAAAGATCAAGATTAAGATTAAGATCAAGATTAAGATCAAGATTACGATCAAGATTAAGATCAAGATTAGGATCAAGATTAAGATCAAGATTACGATCAAGATTACGATCAAGATTACGATCAAGATTACGATCAAGATTACGATCAAGATTACGATCAAGATCAAGATCAAGATCAAGATCAAGATCAAGATCAAGATCAAGATCAAGATGAAGATCAAGATCAAGATCAAGATCAAGATCAAGATCAAGATCAAGATCAAGATCAAGATCAAGATCAAGATCAAGATCAAGATCTACGATCAAGATCAAGATCAAGATCAAGATCAAGATCAAGATCAAGATCAAGATCAAGATCAAGATCAAGATCAAGATCAAGATCAAGATCAAGATCAAGATCAAGATCAAGATCAAGATCAAGATCAAGATAAAGATCAAGACATCAACATAAAAGTAGTATCCATATCATATTATCATACTATCATACTATCAGCATCATGAACATTGAACATTGAACATTGAACATTGAACATGAACATGAACATGAACATGAACATGAACATGAACATGAACATGAACTCACCCTGGTAGACAGAGACTTGGAGCTCCTTGCCACCTGTTTTAAATTCGGCCTGGAATCAGCGACAAGTTATCAAAAAAATGTTAATTTAAAATTGCTCTTCCATGTCTTAAGCTGGAAACTTTTGAACGGACTGAATGAGCTAAGCTTGTCAAATTAATTTTTAATCCAAAAGACAGTTTGGAGAACCTCTGAAAATGAAAGGTTGGTATATTTTTAAGAATCAAATGCAAGATTAGAAAATCTGAACAAAAAATATTTGAAAATCCAAATTCTAGGGGTTCACTCAGATATACGGCTTTAGTCCATCTCAATCAAAAGTTCTCAACTCGGAGATTTTTCAACTTTTATGACAGAATTCTTTTGCCAACTTTCCTTGAGTATACAGTGCCCTAGACTAGCCTGCCACTGCAGCTTACGCCCAGCGTACTTACTCTAAAATAAACAAAGTTAAAAGTGAAGCTATTGTTTACACATGTTTTTAGTTGAGATTTGAAACAAAAAACTAAGTCCTGAAAAAAAATACAATTCAATTTCCTGCGATTATCATAAGATAATTGAACGTTGTCCAGGTTTATATTGTTACTGATAGTTATTCCCGCCGTTTACACGCTCTTGGTACTAAATTATGATTTAAGCTGAAGTCTATAACTTTTTTAGCCTTTGCCACCCCCATGGGTTCCCTTAAACAATGTCAGCTAATTTGGTCTAGCTGTTCGGCCAGCTATAGCGAACATATAAATGAACATAAAGCTTTGTTATCACTAGTCAAGAATATCAGGAAAGAGATCTGAAAGCCCCCCCCCCATGAGAGAACCCAGACCGCCATCGGGTAGTTAAGGGAAGATAAAGAATTACCTTGTAAAATGTGTTGAATATCTCCTGATATTTGGCTAGATGTGGAGGGATGTGTATCTATTATACAAACGTACAAATTATTAAAATGGAGAAGAAAAATCTTTAAAAAATTTTCTTTCAAAACAAAATATTTAAATTATAATCCCTCGTTACAATTAAGAGGTTTAAACAAAACTTCATATTTAATGCCTTTCCTAATTTTTTTTTTCAAACACAGATTTTAAAATAAAAGGGATAAGAAATTTGAAGGGGTTTCGTTGCATGACAAAGCCTGTCATTCTAATTCCTCCAAAACTTATTTTTTAAAATACAAACGGATATTAAAATTTTAATAAAATTTTTTTTTGTTTGTTTTTGTTCCTGAAGGACGGGATAGGTTGGCCAGAATGCCATGCTTAGAACATTTACAGTCAGGTCCACCTTGTCACCTTCAGTCTAGACATAATAATTGCAGCATTAATCTTCAAAAAATAATATTTGCATCATCTCACTTCAAAATAAATGGATTGCATTATCCCTTTCAAAATATATTTTTTGCATCATCCCACTTCCAAATGTATAATTTAATTGCAACGTCTTACTTCAAACTGCAATAGTACAACTATCAAAATCAAATCAAAGCATTATTTCTCAATGATATATATATGAATTGTCATGGAGTGAGTCATCATCTTCTTTCACAACATGGTCCTCCAATGTTTGCTAAACCTCATAGAACTCAATCCAGAGAAATTTGCTTCCAGTAAGGCTGAGCTTGGTGCCATGGAGAAAGCAGGAATTTTATAGAGGTCAAATTCTCCATGGTCCTCTCTGTTACACATGGATAAGAAGAAATATGGAGGCTGGAAGCCTTGCTGAGACTTTTGGAGGCTGAACACCGTTACAATTCCAGATCCATATCCAATATTTATTAACCTAACATTGCTGATTTTACCTCAAGAGTTCACGGTTCTACAGAAGGGATACTACCAGGTTCCTATGGTTTCATCGATTCCTGAAAGTTTCTCTCCGTGCTAGAGTTGCAGATGAAAACTGGGTTTCCTTGCTCCTCTCTATCGTGGTCCATACCTGGTAGTGAAATGGCATAACAAGTTCTTAAGCCTTCAGATTGTACTTCGAGTTGACTCTGTTTTCGTGGATTGTCTCAAACCTGTGATATCCAATTCTCCGGTCACTGCTGCTACATCTCTGCTTAGAGTAAGTCCGCCTGTCCCTCCCCCCCCCCCCACAGCAAGAAACCACCAGAAACTTCCTCAGCCGTGAAGTTTCCCTCTCTACCGAAAAAGAAGTCTGCCGAGGTTCCTAACGCAAAATTTACATGTCTGGCTTTAATAAAGACCAAGCCGAGAAAGGACAAAACCGACTGGGTCATTTTTTCCTAAATACAAATCTAAGATAAACCGGAGTCTTTACTTGGTCGGTCTTCATTCGGGCGTTAATAAAGCTAATTAGGGGTTTACTCAGGTTTAGCTTTACAGCCCTGAGCTCTGTTGTATTTTCCTTGGTAGAACGTACCCTGTTATGATTGAGGAACTGTTTGAATGCATTATTGATATCTCTAGAGAGTTCCATGTCCTTAAACATTCCCTCCAGCTTACTGGTAAATCCAGCCCCACATTCAGCCTGAACATTCAAAGATCAATATTGAGGTCAAATTTGAAGTAAAACTTGAGACCAAGGTCTCAAGACAGGTCAATTTTGAGTCGTTACAGTCAAATATCAAGTTACGATTAAGCTCAAAGTCAAACCAGTTAAAGTCAAAGTGAAGATGAATATCAATGTCACAACAGGAAAAGGACAAGGTCAAGGTCAATGCAAATGTTAAGTCAAGGTCAAGGTCAAGGTCAAAAACAAGGACAAGGTCAAGGACAATGTCAAGGCCACAATCAAGGATAATGTCTAGGCCAAAGTCAAGGTCAAGTCAAAGTTCAAGGACAAGAAAGGTTAAAAGGACAAGGTCGAGGACAATCTCAGACTCAAAGTAAGGTTGTAATCCATGGTCGAGGTGAATGTAAAATATCAAGAGTCATTGATCAGAATACCTTGAGTTTACTCAGCATACTCTTCTCACTGTCTACTGATGCTGATTTCCCAACAAGAAGTCGTTTAGCTAAATCCTTCTTATAGAATGCTTCAAACACGTCTTTACCATGGATAAACCTGGAAACATATGTTGATTCATTTACTCATTAATCCTATGGTCATTTTTCAGATTTTTTAGAATATTTAAATAACATCAAATACACTTAGGTATTGTAATAAAGTCGTCTTTATATTCCATTGTTTTCTGCTTAACATTTTTTTAAATTACATTTTTGTTAACAAAAGACAATCCGTTATTCTATTAAAAATGGGTGACACTCAATTTATACTTTTTGTATTTTTCTTCAAAAAAAACTTAAGTTCGAAAGACCGGCCCTTTTAATTATTTCCTATTGACGACTAACTCCTACCTGAAGAGAACCATGATCCTATCCAGCAACCTTTCCATCTCCTCCTCAGCGTTCTCCTTGTTCCCAGCCCGTAACTTAACAGACAAATCAACATTATTTTCAAAGTAATTATGCCATTTATATCATAAAGCTTTTCGCTCATATGGACAGGGTGTACCACATCATATTAGATCGTGTATAGCTCAATATTGTGATTTTAGGGACTAATCAGAAAATTCAAAAACAATGAATCATTTTAAATTTTTAAATAACGTAAAAGGTTTTTATAAAAGTTTTCTTGAAGAAAATACTTGGTTTTTCGAGGATTGTGTGCGTATTTTGGCGTAAAAGCTTCGAGATAATCTAATATGATATGGGACGCTCTGTACTGACTGGAAATTTTGGAGAGAACCCCTGGGGCCTGGGTACCCTGGGGTAACATAGGCTACATTTTGTTCCTTCAAAAATCAATTTATTTTCAAAAATTGGTTTTTTTAATTTAAAGGGAATGCTGGGCACTTCAGCTAGTGATGAATATGGCGGTTACAAGTAAATCCCTTTAACCCTTTTTTTAAAATCTAAGGCGATTTCATTGGGAATAGGACAAATCTAAGCTAATTTCCTGATCGTTTCTGAGATTTGAAAATATGCATGTTGTTTATAAGAACCTGCAATGTCTATATGAAAAAATGCAGAATGGCCATTAACTTCATTTTATTTCAACCCCCTTTATAAACCATACACCCAACTTATGATGAGGAGAGTTGGCCGGGGGGGGGGGGATTTTTGAAAAATATTATCCCCTGTTCTCTTACCTTGGAATCTACAAACTTTGCAATCATCTCTGCGGGTTTGTTCTGTCTCTGGTTGATAAACGATTCAAATGAATCCTAAAAAAGTTACCTACAGGGGAAATTTTAGGATCCTATCGGGACAGTGCATAAAAACTAAACGACTGAAAGGGAGATACAGGATAAACCCGAATCAAATATTTTACCGATCGATAATTCTTTTTCTATTCGATGTTTGAAAACAAATACTTTTATTCACTGGCTAGTTCAATTTTCTGAACGGGAAGTATTAATTTAAATTTTTCTGAATGGTTTTATTTTACTAAACAAATTCTACCTTGAGCGAAGTGACGAACTTGTCGTTCTTCCTGAAACACTTCTCAACGATGAGATCCAGCTTCTCCTTGAAGTCTAGTAGCTCCTAGTTAACAATATTCATGGAGAAAAAGTCAATGAGATTCAGACAACTAAGATATGCAATGAATTTTAAGACCGGGCTTATTTTAAGTCTCACAACGCCCACAACTCATTTTTTTAGTAGCCCTAGACATCCACATTTAAAACTGCGACGTTTCCAGCTTCAGTTTTAAAGGAATACTTTGCAAACATCTGACTGGGAGCTGACTGGAAGGCTAAGTGTTTCTGTATCTATGGTATGAGTACTTTGCTCTCTGGCAGTCTCTCAGAGTAGTTACTTTATCTAAGTAAACAAGATCTCAACAACAACGACTTGGTTGTCTACTCCCCCTCATTACCCTCCGACGAAAGGACCCCGAACAGGATTTGCTACATCCTGATACTGTATCCCTGATCTAAAGCTCCTCCCCTAGATCAAATACAGTTCTCATACCTGATACTGTATCCCTGATCTAAAGCTCCTCCCCTAGATCAAATACAGTTCTCATACCTGAGACTGCGGTGCATTCTAAAAGGACTAAAGGCTACAGACCTCCGGACAAATCAACATTGTAAGTCAACTTTTTAATTTATATAAATTTAAATGTTTTTAACCTGGAGAAAAGTTATCATTTAAGGCTAGTAATTTTATTGTTGTATTCAATTAAAATAACCATGAACTGATTTATTGTGTTTCCAGTTCACGGTTTGAGTGCTGTATAAACTGTCTACCTGAAATATATATAAGATAGTGCTAATTAAGGTGAGCCCACAAGTGTTTATGCTTGCTCTTATGTTTGTAGCAAACTTGCCTGGACTCCAATGGGTAAAATGAGCACAAAATTCTGGGGGGGGGGTACCCTCCTATATACGCCACTGTTGCACACACTATGTATATTCCTTATTTTGGCCGTTTCTATGCAGGTAGTTGTTCTGTGCTTAACAATTTTTTTAAGTTCCATGGGCATCGTTGGGCACTATGCTGAATATTATTCTCACCTGAACCATAGTTTTGTCTTTCTCCGGATTTATCACAATAATTTTCCCTCGTTTCTTTACATATTCAGCCATCTTAGAACACAGGTCGGCTTTACCGGTAGACACTCTACAATATTGATTCATTAGAATTCAGATCCGCGAAATAGATCCAAATGAAACCCGACCCTTTTACCGTACTTTGGTAAAGCTAATGCTTTCCTAAGCTGATAACTTTAGAATGGGATATACTTAATACCAATCGCTTAATATGAGCATGCAATGTACACACTTTTGATTTTTTTCTAAATCCTCTCTTTTGGATACCACTACTGTATAAACGTAAAAGTTGCGTTTGATAACAATTACAAATACGATGCAGTCGATGTTTTATCAATTGGACTAATATCCGGTTGAACTTAAGTCAGCTATTCACAAGCTGGCTTTAAGAGCATTTAAACAAAAATAAATTTAATCATGGTAATATGAACTTATAAAAAAAACATAATTTATCACATTTGAGGACTTTAGTCAGTTTAAACGTTAATCTTAATACACATTAATCCAAACATTCGTTCAATCGATCATTAGTTCAATTGATATAACACCTCAACACCAAAATGGCAAAAATTAAAAACTGGTTTTTCTAAAGAGCGCATCCATAATCTCAAGATATTAATATAAAGACTAAATTAGTCTTAAGATTAGCAAAAACAGAGGATCAAGCATTTATCTAGATATCCACCATTCTAAAGTTTTAAGCTCTGGATTATTTTTTACAATCCGTTTTTCTATTAAGTATTTGATTGACCATTGATTTCTAGAAAATTAGAAAGTTTAAGCATTCATCCTTGTTTGCCTCTATGTGAGTTGAATGAATATGAACAAAAACTGGACCTATTTACCTGGCAAGAAGAGTAAACAAAATAAGTAGTACATAAAACTAATATTTGTGTAGTTCTAAGAAGAGTGAACATGAGAGAGAGAGATCGTCCAATCTATATGTGAGTTCAATTTGTACTTAAAACTGATATCTTAGTACCTGCAAAGAAGAGTGTACATTAGAGAGAGATCTTCCAATCGATTTTCTTCCAATAGTATATCCAACCCCTATTTACCAACAGACAATAAAAAAGTTATCCAGACAAAAATATATTTTAAACAAATATTTTGGTGACTTAAAAACATTTAATCAATTATTTCTTATCTATATAATAAAGCTCTCCGCTCAAATATATAATATTTAGGTGGCATTTCTATAACATTAGCCGTATAGACGCAGGAGGTCTTTTTCTATCTAATCTTTGAAGAATTTTGAGATTTGATGGGCAGCGCCGAGCACGTCAGCTAAATATTATTATAATATAATTATTTTTTTTATCTGTTTCCTTGGTTAGAATAGTGTTGAGATGCTCTGAGAGCAACTGCTTCTCTACACAATGAATAAGCTGCCACTTGGAGCTGCTGTCCAGGTAGTGGAGCAGTCGCTCATTCTCCTCCTATACATCAATTATGAACATGAGTGAATATATTTCCTTGAATACTCATTCCCCTTCTATTGAAAATCATTTCCCCCCCAGAAATTATGTATTTTTCCCCGAATTGGGGAAATTAAATATATTTCAGGAGAAACATCTAAATTAGAATAAAAAGAAAAAAGATCATTACAAAAACTACAATCCCCCCCCCCTTCTTAAGAATTCTTCCATTACTCTTACCCTTAGTCGTTTCTCTGCGTGATGAAGATATATCGGAACATCCAGTTCGTTCACCAATTGCTTACCCTCAGCTGCGTACAGACTCTCTGTTGCGGACATGAATTTAATCTCGAACGCATCCTGACATATTCATGAGAAAATTATTAGTCAATCTTTTCTAGGACAAAATTGTTTCAATTTAAGATTTGCCCAACCAATTTGTTAACCTAAAAATAAGTTTTTTAATCTCTAAAATGGGATCCTCCCCCCCTTGGGCCCGGTTGCATGTGCACAGTGCACATTTTTTACATTTTTCCAACCGTGCACACTGCACATTGCAAATCTATTGAAGCTTCTTTTTATTTTCTTATCAGTATCAATTAATTTTTTCATCTTACTTAAAAGTGTTAATAATGAAAATCTCATGGAACAGAAAATTTTATACCAAGCAATTGTAGCGACAAAATAAGGACCAAAATAAACAAACTGAATGTATATTGAATTTTTAGATACAACATGAGTTTTAAAAGGTACTAAATATATTTGGTTTGGTTAGCTGAGCTTCCGGGCTGAAATGATGTTTTCATAAAATAACTATTCGTTAATCAAAATTTTTGCGAAAAAAGGAATTTAAATATATTTATTTTACTAACCTTGTAGATCTGTAGATCAACCAACATTCTTAGTAGACTTTTTATCAACGATCTATCGATCATATCTCCATGCCTCTCCTAAAAAATAGTGAATCAGAGATAAAAGCCTCAAAACTAACTAAATGAATTTTTTTAAAACTTTTCTCAAAATCGATTTAAGATGATTAATTCCAATATATAAAGGAAGCCAAATTCATTGATTTTTAACTACAGACGAATAACTGTCGAGCCACATAAAGCTAATGCTGTAAATTATGCTTTGACAGTGTCTTTCTCGTTCATCAAGAAAAAAAAAATTGCAAGAATTTTGTTGCTAAAATCAACGAATTTCAAAAACTGCAAAAAAAAATAACCAGCCCTAACCATTCCAAGTTACCACAAAAAACGGGCCCAGATGGTTCAGTCGTTTTTACGTTTGTTGGATACCAACAACAAAATGGACACGCCATACCTGGATAAAAATATCCCACCTGCACATAATAATCTGATGACAATGACTGGACCAGGCCTCATTCATCTTCTTCATGAAGATAAGTTTATCCTGGAATTCTCCAAGGAACTGTCCCACGGTCTCCGCCACATGCTCTTCTATCAGACCCTTGAGCTGACTGTACACCTACATTGAGACCCGTAAAACTGTGCAATAGGTAGATGAATTTGTTACCAGTAGCTGGAAAATAAACTTTTAACGAAAAATGGAAAATAAAATTGTTAAAACTTTTCAAAAAAAAAATTATCAACTGTTTAAAATAACAAAAAAATCTAATATCGTTCAATTTTAAAGACATATTTAAACTGCTAAGGGGTAGGCGTTTTGTTAGATTTGAGTGAGGAGACTACTATAGAAAAATTAAATGAACAAAAAGTCAAAATAACCGCTTTTTTATGCGTGTAAGTCTATTTTTCTTTTCTTCATAGAACCAAATATTTTCTCCATAAGTTAAAATATCATAAAATCCTATTTAATTGATATCTTAAGGATTTGAGAAAAAAAATGAAGGGGAGAGGAGGGAGGGGGGTGTAGCTGAAATAAATTATAATTTTTACCTTCTCAGCCATTCCGTGGCTGCAAAGATTTTCCACAAACTGGTATAGTTCCTCCAAACTTGTATCTAGAAACAAACTGGTATAATTCCTCCAAACTTGTATCTAGAGACAAACTGGTATAGTTCCTACAAACTTGTATCTAGAAACAAACTGGTATAATTCCTCCAAACGTATCTAGAAACAAACTGGTATAGTTCTTCCAAACTTGTATCTAGAAACAAACTGGTACAATTCCTCCAAACTTGTATCTAGAAACAAACTGGTATAGTTCCTCCAAACTTGTATCTAGAAACAAACTGGTATAGTTCCTCCAAACTTGTATCTAGAAACAAACTGGTATAATTCCTCCAAACTTGTATCTAGAAAGAAATTCATTTCTGAACATTCAAATAAAAATAAGGGAACAAGAGGACGTCCAAAAGCCACGTGAAGTTATATTTGGCAGTATAAAACTAGCTTCTCATTATTAAGGTTGATCAATATTAGAATTCTTCTTTCCTCAAAAATACAATGTCATTTTATTTCACGAATTTTGTAATACGTACTTTTCTTATTTTAATTGACCAACAATTGTTTACAGGACATTGAAATGTGTTTAATATATGAGACGACTCACATCAAAGTAATTAACTAAATTAAATGTAATTTTATGATGTTTATGTGAGAAGGTATGTACTATATCTTTCAGTTTGATATTGATAAAGCTGTAACTCAGAGAAGAAAAATGCACTTAAATCTAATTCGTTAAATTGAATATGTGCAATGATTATAATTTATGTATTAAATACCAATAGGTTTAGCGGTCTGAATAGCGATAACAGCTTTCTTTAGTTTCTCCCAACTCCGTTCCTGAAAATAAGTTAATAAAAAAAAACTCCTAATTTTTCTTTCCAATTTTATAAGAATGTTTTCTGTTAAAACATTTTATTTTTGTTAATATTATGAATGAGATTTCATTTTTACAATTAAAAACGAATTCAACTTAAAATCTTTCAAAAGTTCCATTGTCATCCATTCCTCAAATTTCATTAATTTTCCCAGAAGTTAAGGTTAGACAGAAAACTAAGAAAATTTTATAAGAAACGAAATTGTTAAAGATGCGAAATATATTTATTTCCCCAGATAACTCACATCCTCACTTATTTTCTAAAATCATAACAAATTTTAATTAAATAATTTTTAATTGCAGAAAAAAAATTACAACGGTGTCTTTCCTTAAAATTTAAGAATTATGAACACATTAAAGAGAATCTCTGAAAAGTGATTTGTAATAGTCCAGTCCTTCTTGGGATTCATTTAATTTTGATGTAGATCCTGGATCCGCACTGGAATAAAATGGATCCGGATGTTAGGATCCAAATCCGGTTCAAAGGTCTTATGAACATTTCTGATTCACTGATATGTTTAACAAAAAAACAATTTTCAAATTATTTGTCTTTATTTTTATTCTAAAACTTGATTCAGAGTTAGGAGAATTGTTGATAATTTATATTTTTTTCATCAGTTCAGATTTGGATTTTTGAGATGTTTGTTTTCAGTTTTTGGTTGATATTTTGCACCTTGGATCCGGATCCGTGGATCCGCATAAAGTGGATTCGGATCCGGGTCCAGGAAGGCAAAATGTTGCGGATCCAACGGTTCCGGATCCTAAGAGTACTCTGAATTCAAGCTAACCTGAAAATCTTTTGGGAGAATAGGTTTAAATTTCAGATTCTTGATCTCCAACTTTTTGGCTACAGTGTTCCTGAAATATTTTAATAATACTGAATAATTAAAAATAAAACTGCATCTGACACTAAGTAATTTTTCATCAGAACATTAATAAAGAAGAAAAAACATGCTTCAATCATGTACCAACGGCTATGGTCAACAGCTACTATGTCATAGCTAGCAACTGACTCAAAAAAATTCCAAAAAACTAAATAACTAAACTTTTATTGAATGATCAATCAAGGTTACAAGTATTTCGTAATTCAGTGTCACAAAAAGTTTTTTAGCGTAACATATATTTAACTATAATGAAATCCAGAATTAAAAAAGAATAAAAGAACATTAAAACACCGATGGTGCTCTATGCTGAAATAAATACATGCAGATCAGCATCAAAGCCATTTCAGTATTATAGCAAATAATTAGTCTCCCCGGGGGGGGGGGGGTTACCTTGATCCAACAAAACCATTAGAGACAGGATGGATCTGTGAGAAATTCTCTTTTCTATCCTCCATACCGTCTACACAATCAAAATCAATCAATCAATCAATCAATCAATCAATCAATCAATCAATCAATCAATCAATCAATTCAATAGATAAATCAATTTATCAATTAATTTATTATTCAATGTATCAAATCAATTTAAATCTATCAATCAATTCTGCAATTAATTTATCAATCAATCAATTTATCAATCAATCATTAAATCAACCAGTAAGCTTGTTAATCAATCAATCAGTTTTGTAATCAATTAATTAATAATCGTTTAATTTATCAATCAGTATATCGACCAATAAGTTTATTAATAAATAAGTTCATTAATCAATTTATCGATAAATAAGTTAATCTATCAATCAATCAATATTTCAAGAGTGCAAGAGTGCAAGAGTGCAAGAGTGCAAGAGTGCAAGAGTACAAGCGTACAAGAGTACAAGAGTACAAGAGTACAAGAGTACAAGAGTAAAAGAGTAAAAGAGTACAAGAGTACAAGAGTACAAGAGTACAAGAGTACAAGAGTACAAGAGTACAAGCGTACATGCAAGAGTGCAAGAGTACACAAGAGAGCAAGAGAACAAGAGAACTTGAAAACAAGAGTACAAGAGTACAAGAGAACACGAAAACAATAAAGCAAGATCAAACTAAAATTCAAAAAGTCTAGTTACCAGTTTTAGGTTTCTTTAGTACAACAAAATCTTCTTCTGCTAATTCCTGAAGTAAATTATTTAGCAGTTAAGTAAAATATTCCATTCTAGCCTGAACTAGCCGCGGCTCCAAATATAACCTAAAATGCGGCAATTTCATAGAGAACGATTTTTGGACCCCCCTCTAGCCTCTCCTATCAATTTTGTACATTTTGTACATCATGTGGCCGCAGCGCTGGCCCCCTAGCCTGTCCTAGCCGCAGCGCTCGGCCCAGAAATTGTCTTAATCTAACCTANCCAAAAGTTGTATCCTAGGACGGACCCTAAAATGCTGTGCACAAAAATGATAGGAGGGGTGGGGGTTGATAGTCAATAAAATTCTTTACTAGGAAATAACAAAAAACTATTCTTCATTTCACTTTGAAATCTGATTTGGAAAAGAAATCGCGTTTCATAAAAATATTTCCCTTGCAAATACCTATTTAACCCCCTTCCCCCACCATACGTTTAGTCAATGTGATTCTATTTAAATTAGTTAATATAAAATTTCACACTTTTAGACCCCTCCTTTCAATTTTGTACATGACCCAGATTTTAACTATTTCCAACAAAAAAATATTTATATTGCATTATTTCAGGGTTAGGCTAGGACAAATTTAGAGCCGAGTGCTCAGGCGAGGACAGACCTTCAATTTCAACAATAATCAACTAAAATTAATAAATATTTAGGGTTAGGTTAGGTTAAGACACGTTTTGGGCCAAGAGCTGCGGCTAGGACAGGATAGGAGGCCGAGTGTCACAGCTAGGACAGGCTGGGAGGCCGAGCGCTGAGGCCACGTGACCATCTTCTTCTTTGCGTTAAATATGAGATCCATGATAATTGATAGGAGAGGTGGGGGGTTCAAAAATNGGGGGGTTAAAGAATATCCCTGGTTTCTGCGTCTTGTTTAAACGTAACTGAGCGCAGCGGTTACCACCGGAGAAAGAGAGGGACAAAGCGTAGGTTTAGTGTGAAAACAGCTCTAACTTAGAAGTATTTTCAATAATAAATTATTACTCTATGCGCTCTTTTCTTGAAAAATGCAGCTTCTGAAGTGGGTAACATGTCCAGTCATTACTTCATAGCCTCAAAACTTAAAATCTGTAAAAAGTTAAATAATTTATTTCAACCGAGCCAGCCACCAAACAGCGAACTGATAAATAAAAAATAATTGCGTGAAAGCCTCTTCAATTGCAAAATGTATCAAAATATTATAACCAGTGTCAGTGCTTAGGATCCGGATCCGCTGGATCCGCATTAGTTTGGCTCTTTGGATCCGGATCCGCCAAAAAATGCGGATCCACGGATCCGGATCCAAGGACAATTTTATTTTTCAAAATGTGCAAAACAGCGTTATTTTTCCTTAAAAATATCTTATTTTGAATTGTTTAACAGATTTTAAAAATATTCTCAGGGTCTCAGGTTTCTATCTTGCTCAAATCTTAACTCAGACCTCCACCGTGTACCCCCCCCCTCTTTAATACCTAGAGAGGGGGGGGGGAGAAGTCTCCCTTTTCCCCATTGCAACTAAGCAAATTCAGTCTTAACAAATTAAGGTGTAAGGATGTGTAAGAGTGAGGGGGAAAAGGGAGGGGGCTCACATATGCTAAGGAACATCTTGTGTTCCCAGTATAAAGAGACTGTTCTCTGCCCTGAAGATATTCCAATCAGACCGAAGGGGTTGCCTGAAAGCAGAAATTCCAAACGCCCTCCTTCTACTAAAAGCTAATATGAATTAGACCTGTTTTTTTACATCCAATAAAGTAAAAAAAATCATTATCATTTTGTGCAAACTAGTAGAAAAATAATATAAAAATGTTAAAATGTTTAACATTTTTTTTAAGTATGAAAAGATATTTGAACTAAAATAAAATTTTTTTGATCAATGACCTGGATCCGGATCCGGATCAAAATCCGGATCCATTATTTTGAAAAGCGGATCAAGGATCCGGATCCGCATCAAAATTAAATGGATCCTAAGCACTGACCAGTGTATAGAATGGGCCAGACGACTGTAGGTTTTCAGGTACACATAACACATAACGATTAACGAAGTTTTGTATTGAAAATGAAAGACGCCAGACTGAAGCGCGCGACAATGATGAAAATCCCGCAAGTCGGATTTTGATTTTATCGAACTTTGATTCATTGATTTCTGAATTAGGCGTCCTTCCTAACTTGGCGGAGGGGGGGATAGATAAAACTCCTAAGAATGCGCGATCATAGAGAGAGAGAATTAAAGAAATATTATCCGGTATTCGCGCATTCTTAGGAGTTTTATCTATCCCCCCCTCCGCCAAGTTAGGAAGGACGCCTCTGAAGTAGCCGTTACATAAAACATTGAACGCGGCTAATGCGCTTAACATTTTATTATAAAAAAGAAATAAATTAACATTATTCATGTCACGGAAAGAAATTAATATCTTTTAATTTATTAATTTTAAGAATTATCTTTTTACATATGATGAAATTATGACTAGGCACCTTTCGATTTTCTTGAAATTAATCACGTGAATATGAAATGACAATTCGACCATATTTAATAGTTTTTATTGTTTATTATGAACATTTAAGATACCATTAATTAGGTTTAAAGAAATAAACGTCTATCAATCAATCAATTAATTGGTAATTTCCTAGTACACGATTTTTGGACCCCCCCCTTTATTATTTATAAGATTTTAGAAAATGACGTTGAACAGATTTATGCACCCTGAAAATCCATTTCGAGTAGCTCCAGACTTCAAAGCACTTGCACTGAAGTATCCAGAGTTTATGAAACATGTTTCCCAAGGTGAGAACTGAGAATTAAGTAGGTCCCATTTTACTAGTTTAGATTGTTGGACCCCTCCTCTCTTCTCGTATTTTCCTGAATCAAGTCGTTCTATTCTTTGGTCGACCAAAGGATTATGTTAATTCATTACTCAACAGTTTGACCTTCACTATTTAATTTTATATTTAGATGTTGTTGGCAAAATACATTTGGATTTCAAGAACCCTGACGCACTGCGTGAACTCAGTAAAACCCTGCTACTAGACTCATTTTCACTTAGGTACAACTTCAGTCATGTATGTTTGTAAAGCGAGAGCCTTAAAATTGTGGAATAGAACAAAGTTACGACTTAAGGGGTCTATAAGTGTAAGCATAGTTTAAATGACCCTCCATGCAAAGGTATCAATGCCTGATTAACAACGGTACCCTTGAAACTTATATCTGATCAAATGTGGAGAAAACTTCGTCTTTCTGACTCGAAAAGTGTTTATTACTGTTTTGTTGTTTTCAATAAGCATGAAATGCGCAAGTCATTTTTGTAGAGTAACCAAAACTAAAAATAAATAGTTAAAATAAACTAAAACATAGATATCAAATTCATACTTGATCAAACAAAGCTTTAAAAGGTCAGTATTGTCGAACTTCAAAATTCCCTTCGGGGATTTTCATCCTCTACAACATTAAACTAATTAATTTAAGGGTTGATATTCCTGCTGGATGTTTAATTCCAACAATTCCTTCACGGCTTAATTATCTGCTCTGGATTAAGGATCTGATTAAGGTAAGGATTGACAGGATTCTTTATTTTGTTGTTAAATCCCCCCCCCCCCCACACGTTAATTTAGATTTATTACAAGAGTCAAAATTGTTTTTCCTTTCTTAATATTTTTCATGATGCATATAATAAAACTAAAACATATTACGCTTTGTATTGCCGGATTCGTAATTATTAATTTTCAAAAAGGGGATCCTTATTACTGGTAAAAAATATGTTATTTCAGGTTTTACCTCCTGCGGAGAAGATAACAGGCATCGATATAGGTAATATAATATATTTTTACGAGGCATAGTTTAAAATACATATTGATCTTTTTTCTCCTTTCTCCATCTGCACGTCTGCACCAAGGTTCTCTTTCTCATGCTTCCTTTTGCCCGTTCATTTCGGCGCTGCTTTTGAAAGATATTTAAAGGGTCGCTGTCTTTGCGCCATTATAAGACAGCGAACGATCACCCTTTCATTTTTTGTTTGTTTTGCTTAACTTTGGCATACGTTAAACTTTAAATACCTATTTATGGCAGATGTTGTTCATTAAGACACTGTTTGTGGCACATTTTCTGAGTTTTGAAGGCAAGTGTGACAGATTTTTTATGACGAAGACATAATTTGCGGCATTATTTTTCCTTTTAAATATTGTTAGTGACACATTTTATATGTCTGGGTATAGCTTGTGGCATCTGTCATATATTAGCACTGCTTTGTGGCAGATATAAAGCTTTTTAGATAATTTTAGTAGCAGATTCATGCATTTAAATACTTTTTTGTGGCATATTCTCTGAGCTGTGATGTAAAGTGTGGCAGATTTTATGTGGCAAGGCATAAATTGATGCATATTTTATGCATTTATACACAGTTAGTGGTATATTTTATCAACAGATTTTAAGCGTTAAGATATCATTTGTGGCTTTTATTTGGGCATTAAAATTTTTTTGGGGGGTTTAAAAATCTGGGTGTAATAGGTGTACATTGTACAATGTTCACTCAAATTGATCCTAGATGAAACCCTTCCTGTTTTAGGTACTGGTGCATGCGCAGTTTATCCCTTGCTTGGTGCGCGGGAGTTAGGTTGGAGTATTCTGGGAACTGAGGTAATATTTACTGCTAGCTGGAGTGCCCGGCGTTGCCCTCGGAAATTTCAAACGACTCAAATATAAGAAAAATTGTTGCAACAATTAAAAAATTAAAATTTGTTTTTAGCCTTTGTCATCATGTCGCATATGAGCGAAGAGCTTTATTATAAACTAGGCTTTTAGGGCGCTTCGCGACCATCTTCTGTTTAAATTGTGAACAATGAACATGTTCTCTTTGTAAACATTGTAAAACAAACAAAAAATTCTCGGATTTAAAAAAAAATTCGTGGATTTTTAAATTTTTCAAAAAGCGAACTTTGTTAGAGGCAAAATTTTGAAAATTCGATCATCCATAAACCTTCCCTGGGGTCACACGAGATCACACAAAAAAATTTGGGCCCGATCAGTGCAGCCGTTTATTGGATACTTACTTACTTACTTACTTGGATACTTGAGTGGTGATCCTCAGAGCCCCAGGTAGGAGCATGTTGAGGATAGCTGGAGTGGCCCGCACAGTCCAGAGGTCAGGTCATCGTCCGTAGAGAGTAATCAAGTAAATCAACACTCCCTGGACCTGGCACAATAGTTGCGGGATTAGTTGTTAATATAGTGTGCGTCAAGCATGCTTTTAAACATTTTTAATGATCTGGCATCCTTACTCTTGGACCCCTTACAAACAGACAGACAAACAGACAGACAAGCAAAGTATACATATAGATATTGATAGATTTAAATAGGGTCTAGAGGTATTTATTTTCAAGATATTTTTTTTTGATGTTCTGGAAATAAAATATGAAGGCAATTTGTTCACCCTTGTCGCTAAAATGCGCACATAATACTCAAAAAAACTTGTGTTATCAGTTTATATCAGGCTAATACAATTTTTTGGAATGATTCTTTCTTTTCAAATTTTCCCCTTTATAACCCTTTCATATGTTGATGTTGGTGTCTATTTACGGATACTCCTTAATTTTCTTTTCTTGGGGTATCGTTTCTTCTGTGCTAAATAAAAGTAAAAAAATAATCTTAATTTAGTCTGATGCCCAGAATATAATAATCTTTATTTAGTCTGATGCCCAGAATATAAGTTCAGCTCGTCTCAACGTTGAACAAAATAATCTTCAGGTGAAAAATATTTTCCTTTCTTGTTTTTTCCTCCTTTTTCCTTTTCCCTTTCTATTGTTCCTAAACTCTATACTATCCCTTTCTATTGTTCCTAAACTCGATCATTTCCCCTTTCTACTGTTCCTAAACTCTATCCTTTCTCTTCCTATTTTTCCTAAACTTTATCCTTTCCCTTCCTATTTATCCTAAACTCTATCCTTTTCCCGTCCTATTGTTTCTAAACTCTATCCTTTTCCCGTCCTATTCTTCCTAAACTCTGTCCTTTCCCTTTCTATTGTTCCTGAACTCTATCCTTTTCCCTTCCTATTTTCCCTGAACTCTATCCTTTTCCCGTCCTATTGTTCCTAAACTCTATACTATCCCTTTCTATTGTTCCTAAACTCGATCATTTCCCCTTCCTACTGTTCCTAAACTCTATCCTTTCCCTTTCTATTGTTCCAAAACTCTATCCTTTTTCCTTCCTATTGTTCCTAAACTCTATCCTATCCCTTCCTAATGTTCCTAAACTCTATCCTTTCCCTTTCTATTGTTCCTAAACTCTATCATTTTCCCTTCCTAGTGTTCTTGAACTCTATTCGTTTCCCTTCCTATTGATCTTGAACTCTTGACTTTTCCCTTCCTATTTTTCCTAAACTCTTGACTTTTCCCATCATAATTTTTCTAAACTTTTTCCTTTCTCTTCTTATCTGAAAGTTTTCTAGTATTCTATAATAAGGAATTATTAAATATATAATATTGGAATCTTGTGTCTCCATAGATATATTCCTTATCTCACATAATTATTATTTTTTTTTTTTGATTATAACAGGAGATGGTCGAATTAGTTAAGGTGGAAAACAACATGATCTTAAACCAGGAAATTCTAAACCACAGATATTTTACATTCTCTATGTGCAATCCACCCTTCTTTAACAGGTCAATATATTTCCTATATTTTGTTGACAATAGCATGTATCTTTTATTTTAAATCCATTAAAATTATCTTCGTCGTTTCTCATCTTTTCTTTTTGCATTTTTTTCCAAATCTGAAATTTGATTACTGAAATATCTGCTCTCGGACTCGTTCCTATTGAAAGAATCGGCGAAAAGTCAAATCAGGGGTGGGAGCAATCGTCAAGTATATATTTTTATATATTTTCTTCGTTCGTTCACAAAAAGGGTTTCCGATAATTTTTCTTCAAAAAGTTCTTTTTCCCGCCTAAAATGAAGTTATTTCCCATTATTCAGCGAAAAAAATCCCTTACAAATCTCTAACTTATTGTTGATTTTTATAGAAAATATACACCTCTATCGTTGAGATCACTTCTCAACAATGCGTATAAACATATTTTAAAGCTAGTGTATTTTAGAGAGGATGTTGGCGAGGCTCCTGGTAAAGATTGCGAAGTGAAGACCCAGGGTGGCGAGGTCAATTTTATATTCAATATGGCAGAACAGAGCTCGAGGCAAGGGAACCAAAATATTTTTTAAATATAGTTTTTCTATTGATGATTTTAATAAAGAAAACTTCCTCTGAAGGGACTGTAAGTGATTTCAGGTGACCCTCTATGTAAAGCAGGCAATGTCAGATTCACAACGGTACCCTTGGAAGCGTTGTCTGATTTAGTATGAATTAGGTATACATTAGCGCATTTTTGCCTGTAAGAAGTTGCGCATTTCTTGCTTATAAGAAGCTACGGAGAAATTCACAGAAATTAACACTTTCCAAGTCAGAAAACGAGATTGTTTTCTACCTGTTTGATCAGATAAATGTTTTATAGGTAGTACCGTTGTTAATAGGGCTTACGTTGCCCACGTGCATAAACACTTTAATTGGTTCCCGTTTGTTAGACTGAAAACTCAAGTTCAAATATTCACCACACTACTAGGACATAAGTCTAGTTTAGGTAGGGTATACTTTCTTAAGTAACTTTATTTATCTAAAACTTGGAACCCTAGGTTATCCTTAAAAAACTAATTGAGAATTAATTTTTTTTCATGATATTGGCTTGTTTCCTTTTTTCCTCCGGAAACTTAAGAAGCGGCCATCTATATATAAATTTGGCTTGTCTGTTTGTTTGTATCCAATAAACGTCAAAACGGCTGAACCGATCGGGCCCAAATTTTTTGTGGGACCCAAAGATAATATATATATAGATAGGCAGGCAGGTAGAAACCTCCTTCCTAAATTGCTTGTAGCAGACAACTAATTTTTGAACCTCTGAGAAAAGGTGCAAGGAGAGACATCTATAGCAAATTGATTACTTTCTATATTCCTTTCTCCCCTTGCTGCCATCTGTAGGAAATACGCATTTGTGTTATATCAACATACAGTACGCGTATTGCATCCTGTATAGTTCAAGTGTTGCTATCTGGACCTGTTTTATTGTTGATACTATAGTACGCATTTAGTGTTATCACGCATAAACAAAGTGATAAATTAGCAAAAATCTAGAGGATAAAATGCCATGCGTACGACAGAGATGGTGCTGTTTGCACCTTTTCTCAAGACCTCAAAATTTATACCTGCCTGCATATCTATATATATATTATCTTTGGTGGGACCTCACGGAGCCCCAGGGAAGGTTTATGAATGATCAAAATTTCAAATATTTTTCTCCATCAAAATTCGATCTTCATTAAATTTTTGAAAATTTTGAAAATCCAAGAAATTTTTTGTGAAAATCCGCGAATTATTTTTGTTTTGTTTTACGATGTACACTAAGAGAACATATTCACAATTAATTTAGAAGATGGGCATGAAGTGCCCTCTAAGGCTAGTTATTCAGAAACCATTTTCGATTCTTCGTTTATATCGAATACACTTCATCGACGGGTCAGGACTCAGGATAAACTAATGTTGTCTAAGAAAAATTTTAAATACATTTTTGATTTGTTGTAAATCCATTTATGAAAAAGAAAAAAATCCGCGGAATTAGTAATATTAATATTTTAAATATACAAAAGAGGGTGCTGAAAGATGTAATGGTGCTTCGCCCACTTAAAAATAATTTAAACCTTTTTTAGCGCCTGTTAAGAAGTACCTGAAAAATATTGGAGTCAAATCTATCTCAACCACAGGTTAGAAGATTCCATTAATTGAAGTACAGAAATTACAATCTGAAAATAAAATTATGAAATGCGTGGGAGCGTACATTAAAATTGCCCAACAGATATATGTTTTCTTAAAAAATAATTTCTTTCTCAGTTCTTTTTTAAACCACCCACTTTACAGGAAGAAATAGTTATTTTGTTGAAATTTTTGTCTAGAATTCTGCCAGGGTCGGACAATGAGATGGGGGGTTGCGTGGACATTTTTAGATTTGGATCTTACACAGGTCATCAGCATCAAGGAAGGTCAAGGGTCAAGCTAAACTAAATTAAAGATTATTGATCGACGAATTTTTTTGTTGACTATTTTGTCAATTAAGGGTGAATTTTATTAGTGCTGAAACTGTACCTTGATAGTTACAAACAACTTATTGTCATTAAAGGAAATGAGTTTTTTCCACAAAATCTAATTTTTTAATCCCTATATCTTTGCAACTTGGTATTTTAGACCTTTGATATGTTAAACTGAAGGAATTCTGATAGATCAATCAATCAGTCAACGTTTGAGATATCACAGGTTTTCATCATCAGGTTGCAAAGATACAGGGATTAAAAAATTTGCGTGTGTGGTATAAAATCAGCTTTTCATCAACATTTCCTTTTGATATCGTAATGCCAAAAATTGTGAAAAGTCCTGAAATTTTTTTTTCTTCTTCAAAATCGTTAATTTTTCTTTGCAAAATGGGTAAAAAAGAGAGATTTAAGTTTGCAGTAGTATATTGGGTCCCCTCTGTTGGAGCGTAGGCCACCGGAGGGAACATTTTTCTTTATTCACATGCTAATTAATCCATTGGAGAGATGGTAATTTACACTCAGGTAACTAATTACTTCATCGTCGGAATGATAACACTCAGAACAATAATTAATCAACATAATAGATGGAAATTAGCACCCCGGACACTAATTACTCCACCGGAGGGATGGTAATTAACACCCAGGAAACTAATTACCATTCTCTCCGATGGGGTATATGTCATGAGTGTTAAAGTCCCTAGCGTTAATTACCATCCCTCAGGTGGATAAATTAGTGTCTTGAGTGACTGGAATGTATCTACTTTATTTCTCTAGATTTGGACTAGATGATGGGGATTTAAAGGTCTAGTTAGAACAGGGGCGGGGCAGTGCACCCTGCTGCCTGGGCGGTCTGGGGGCCCACAATGGGGTCTCTTGCAGATTTCACTTCCTTATGATTCCTTATGATTATCATCCCTCTGGTAGAGTAATTAGTGTCTTGAGTGTTAATTACCATCCCTCAGGTGGAGAAATTAATGTACTGAGTGTCAATTACCATCCTTCCAAAGGAGTAATTAGTGTCCTGAGTGTTAATTATAATCCCTACGGTGGAGTAATCAGAGCCTTGAGTATTGATTACCATCCCTCCAGTGGAGTAATTAGTGTGCTGAGTGTAAATTATCATCCCTTTGATGGAGTAGTTAGTGCCCGAAGAGTTAATTACTATCCCTCCGGTAGAGTACTTAGTGTGCTGAGTGTAACTAATATTCCTCTTATAGAATTAAAAGAATTCAATAAAAAATGTCCCTCTGAACCGCTCCAGCGGCAAACTTCAATCTCTCTCAAAAGAATTATTATCAAAAGAGTTAATACGACTATTTGGAAACCCTTGTCTCTTTCTGTCCAGGCCAAGAAGGGTAAAGAGAAACCTTTTAGTTGGAGTTTACCCAGTGAAACAGTTAATACACTTAGTCTGCTTCAAACCTTTAAAACATACCTTACTCAAATACAAGTAAGTTTTTATACATCACACAAATACAAGTAAGTTTTTAAACATCACTCAAATACAAGTAATTTTTTACATATCACTAAAATACAAAACATCTCTCAAATACAAGTAAGTTTTAATACATCACTCAAATACAAGTAAGTTTTTATACCCCGCTCAAATACAAGGAAGTTTTTATACATCACACAAATACAAGTAAATTTTTAAACATCACTCAAATACAAGTAAATTTTTAAACATCACTTTAATACAAGTAAGTTTTTATTTATGCCTTATTCAAATACAAGAAAGAATTTTTATCGGGTTAAAATATACCCAACTAGGCTCTCTTCTATTTCAACTTTTAATGTTTTGCTCAATCTTTCAGCATTTTCTCTTCGATGAAACAAAAATAAAATTTTTTGCAGAATTGCAATTTTGTTTTTCGTAATTTTCAAAATTTTACGAATATAAAAATTTTTTGGAGAAAACTTTTCGAAATTCCGAGCATCCATAAACCTTTCCTGGGGTCATGTGAAGTCCCACACAAAATTTGGGTCGATCGGTTCAGCCGTTTTGACGTTTATTGGATACAAACAAACAAGTTTATATATAGATATATATATAGTATGACTTAATGTAAGTGGGATAGGGATTGTTTTTTTAACCGTAATGTATAAATAGGACTAGAATTGACGAGAAACTATTTTTTTTTGTAAAACTTAACAACAATAAAGAACATCAATAAGTAAACATTGATTCAATAGCTATGCAAGGTCTTTTCAGAAAACTCTGATCTTTACAATCTGTGTTTTTGTTTTGATATAACTAGTTTTTGGCAGATCTTGATAGATGAATAAAAATAAAGTAATATTGTTTTTTCATGGGTGAATTTGAATATTGGGGGAAAATGTTCAATAAAATATTTTTGTTGTTGGAAATTAAGATAAAATATTTTATTTTTTAGGTTGACATAGAATTAAAGAAGGAGACAAAGCATTTTTGCTCTGCCAGGTATTTCAATATTAAATCTTTTATTAACATTTTTTTTTACAAATTGACATCAATAAAATAAGACTAATTTGATAATTTTTGGAATGTTAGATTGTCGTCAAAACAAACGCTGTGGAGAAATCAACGTCAGCAGCGAAGAAAACGTAGACTAGAGGAACCTGCAGAAACCGCGCCAGTTTCTCAAAAAGGCGCCAAATTCTCTGAAATCCTTGAAAATACTGGAAACGGTGATTCTAGTGTTGAACAATGTCTGTTAGATGAGTTGCTGTGGAAGAACAGTGGTAGCTGTTTAAATTCAAAGGAAATTGGCTCAGCTTTGAAGGACAAAGCCAAAATTAACGGTCATGTTCACAACAATTCAGACATTCTCACGTCTCACGATTCAAATGGTAAATCAAATGCTTTTCCACCATTGGTAAAAACTGACGCAAGTTTTGTTCAAAAGAACCAAAAATCAGATGTAGAGGACGATAGATTGAATGAAGGTTCTGCTGAACCGAAATATGTAGGTGGAACTGAACCGAAAGATAAAGGTGGAAGTGAACCGAACCACGAAGGTGGACGTGAATCAGGGGAAACGGTGTTGGAGTGTGATCTTGTGATAAGGAAACTTTTTAATTTCTTCACAAATTCTTTTTTTTATATATTGGAAAAACGTGGTTTTTTCATGAAAATAGTTGTTTAAAAGGACTTAAGTCGTAATTTCAAGTGACTCTCTATTTATAATGGCATGTATGATTCACAACAGTACCATTGCAAGCTTGTCTGCTCAAGTATAATTATTTAACGATGTTTATAGCTTTAAACTTCTCTTTAAAAATTAATGTGCATTTCTGCTGCAAAAACATTGGAGGAAATTGCCAAAATTCTTAACTATTCAAGCTAGAAAAACAACGATATATTTCAGACTATTGATCAGATAAAGGTTTAAGGAGTACATGCCTCTCTTTATCTGATGACTCACTCGAAAATACATTGTTTTAGACAAGAATATCTATTCTCACAAAAATTAATTAATTAAAAATTCTTGTTGGCTTCATTATTCAAGGGGTTTGGTGGGATGATGNGGAAAAACTCAAAATTCAAGTTATTTCATTCTTTTTTTATACTTTTACCCCAAAAATTCTTTTATTTTCCCCAAGAAATCATTTAATTTCCCCCCATTGCTGGGAATTAAACCCTTCACAAAATACTTTTGGAGAAAATAAATTAATTTTTAAAAGGGGGGGAGGGTTAATGATTTTTCGTGGAAATATACACCCTTGTCAATATTTAACACTTTAAAAAAATAAAAAGTTTGTTCTAGATTGTCCGGTGCTGTTGTTCAGGTGGAGGTTGCGTACAAGGCTGGTCAGGCGGGCAGGGATGCTGCTCATCAACTTCTTCAGTTTCTCAAGAACAAATACAATAATCCATCTTGATTTATTTATTATGTTTTACATTTGTTTTATTTTATTTTCAGAAATATGGAAAAAGAAAGACAGCTCAGTGTTGATACATTAAGGAAAAGATTCGTGTTTTAATTTCTTCAATCATATAAAATGGTTATTTTTCTGTTTATCTTTTAATACAAACAAATAGAATCTCAACCAACTTCTTTCTTTTTGAAGTAAATTGTTTTGGATAATCTTAAAGTGAGATATGTAATAATGGAATTTTTTAACTCGATAAAATAATATTTATGCATTCTTCTACTCAGGTATATTGAAATATTATCAACACATCACTCTTTCAGTGAGCTAAGAAAGAGCCCCAAAAAAATGAGGTCGCCTTTTGATTCTCCTAAGAAGGGTCCAACATTGTCTACCTCGACCTCGAGTTTTGAGGCCGTAGATCCTCACGACCCTGTCCTCAATAACCTGGCCTCCACAATGTTCTCCAAGGTGAGACAGAGATGTATTTATCTCGCAAAATAATCCCCGGCCCCCCTCCCACGTTTGAAAATCCTTTTTTCCCCGGAAGTTATTTGTATTTTGCTTAGGTTTTATGAGCTAATTGAAGGGAAAAGGTTATTTTTGAAGTAAAAAGTATCAAGAAGATATTAAAAACTTGCCTTTTGATGTCTAATTTAACATTTTCCCTCTAAAATTATCAAAATAAATTCACTCTCCATCCCATTGGCCCAGGGTTGGAAGTAATATTGATAAATATTCACCCCTGAGGTGAAATAATGAAACAATGGGTTTTGGGACTCTTCATTATAGTTCATTTCATATGCTGGACTTTTTCAAGGACATGCCATTTCATGTACAGGACATTTAATAGACTGAACTTTATAAAGATATGACAATTAGAGACAGACAATTTCATGGATAAGATGAATTAGTTCTTTTCTCTATATTTTTCTTTTTTGATAACCAGTATACATTCTCATTATACTCCAATAGGAGTCCAGAGAATTAACACCACATAAACATAAACATAAACATAAACTATATACTGTTATTTTTACTGAATTTCTGTATGTATATTTCATACATTGGGTGAGTATTATGTGACTGTATATTTCAGACAGCGGACTGGGTCTCTGGAGAGCTAGAATCCACGATAGATGAATATTATCTTCTAGGAAAATTGATGTGTTCTCATAAACTCCGCAACCAAGTTAATATTCGGCTAGATATTGTTACAATTTATAACAGGAATATTATCACATAGTTTAACATTTTTTTATTTTTTTTTTCTCAAAAAAAATGATTTTCATCACTCATAAACTATGCTAATGAGGAGGACAATATGATTGTAATTAGCGATAACTACCAAAGAAATAAAACATAGTTTTCGTTTTATTAGAACAAATGAACCGAGTAACACTTACAAAATATTCGGATATGCGACAAATAACAACCAACATAGATAAGGTATTTTTTAGAGAAAATGCCAAAGCTTAACGTATTTATTCATGGGGGGGGGGGGCATTTGTTAAAGTAAATAACTCAAATTTTACGTCACCAAACCCCAATTTATCAAATATGGAAAAAGGATTTTCTTATAACAGGGTGACAAAGAAATGTTTTCAGATTACGATGTTTTTTATTGCAGGGTGTATCAGAATTGAATAAAAAATATGAAAATCTTCTGCCTTACCTGGACCAAATAGATCAGGCACAACCAACACATTGGAGTAATCTAAAGGGACTTAACCGTCATTTCAAGTGACCTCCAATTTTTTAGATTGACATCGCCGATTTACAAACTTTGACTTATCATCAAGGACAGAGATCTCAGTGTAAATATCGCTGAAATGTGTGAAAAGGCGTAAAATTAGAGTAAACGTTAGCGTACTGCGTGAACTTAACACTGAGGACGTCACATTTATTCCGGGAAAACCCCTTACTGTCCCTTTATAGAAGTCTAAAATAATCTGATTTATTTTAAAAAATTAATTGTCATGGCTTTACGAACAAAAAGTGAAGCAGTTTTTAACAGTTTTTATGCCATACGCATTGACGCAATAATGTTGGTTGACCCAGATTGATGAAAGCATATCACGGTTGGAGCAGGCCGCCTACAAACTGGATGCATACTCGAAACGTCTAGAAGCAAAGTTTAAAATCCTTGAAAAAAGATCGGTTTGATGTTTTCGCAGATTTCCTGGGCTCCTGATTTTTATTTTCATTTTCACTCTTTTCACTCAAAAGTTTAGTTAAATTAACTTCTTTTGCAATATTTACATAATTTTATATTGCCTTACGAAAATTACGAAAATGATATCAAAGTTGTTAAGACATTTTATATCCAATTAATTTTCTAGTCAAGCACTTAATTCTATTTGTTTTTAAACTGTGGAGTTTGTGCAATCACCAATTTATAGAACAACGTTAAATGAATCTTTTTGCAGTTTTTATTTGTCTAGAAAAAAGATTTTCGAATATCAATTTGATCTTATTTTTGTCTTTCCTCCAAAAAAAAATATTTTATATTTTTGTTGTTGAACATGTTCGGTTAATTCCCCATCTTAATGCTGATATTTAAACTATTAACTAGTAACTACAGTCATAATCAGAAAGACCCGAAATTAATTGATAGTTAATCTGGCGATTGTACATATATATATATCTCGGGCAGTTTTTAATACTCAAAAAGTCAGACCACATTTTTGAAATGGCAGGACTAAAGCTATTTTGTAAATGTTTCATCTATCATATTTGTTAAATTTAATTGTAACGTCCTCTGATCAATTGTGAACTAATTCCGTGTCTTCCTGATTATGACTGTATAAAATCGTCAATTCTTTATTTACACATGTGACATGTCAGACATTATTTCAGAAAAATGCGGCGAGTAAAGAAAGTGAATCCAAACCCTAATCCTTTGTTTATGAAGTGGCTCCACCAATTTAGGGTTAGTTGAGTCAACCATCATTTGAAGAGCTTATATTTAGATTATCTCTTTTAAGTTACTATTATTGAACTATTGATTCTGGGGTGTTTATTTATCAGAATTAACACCCAAGGGGGGGGGGGGGTTGCAGTGATTTTTGATGATTTGTGGGAAAAAATTTTTAAAAGGAAAAGTTTCTTTTGATTCTGTATAATACTTTTACCCGAAAAGTGCACTTATTAATCTCAATTCAGCGAGAAAAAAAACCTAAAAACATAAATAACATCTGGGGAATAAACAGTTTTCAAACGGATGGGGGGAATGATTTTTCCAGAAAATATACACCCCTGTCTTGGTTCTCAAAACTCTCTTTTCATGCATTTGGACCACTCATATTGAAAAATAAAAAATCGGAAAAAGAATGTCATAATCCAAATCCAAATTTATTGTTACACTATACCTTAAATTTTCTGGTAATTTATTATGCACTTTGATTTGTAATCTTACCTAGGCCAATTAATACCCAAAAATTGATATGATATTCTAGGAAGAAGCGGTACAGAAGGAGAACTTACCTCTGACAAAGATCTACAATATGTGCATTGAATCTTTAGGTAAACCAAGAAAATAAAATTACAAAGAAAATTTTTTCAGAAAAATGAAATAAAAACCAACTTGAAACATTTTATTTCGATAATCTGAGATGGAATTTAAAGAATTTGAGCCGCAGTTTAAATCCGCCAAATTCCGGTTTAAATTAAGTGCCGGCTTAAATCTTGAAACATTTGATACAAATTTAAGTGGAACCAACCATATTTAAGCCGCGGCTTAAATTTAAACCGCGGCTCAAATTCATTAAATTCGGCCACTGAAAAGATTATTTTTAAAGAGAAGTATCCGCTGCCGATGATTTCTGGGAAGCACTGTATGCTGCTCTCAGGGTTTGGGAAGACTATTTGTGCCAGGTCACACGTAAACTAGTTCAAATTGTTTTGAGAGGGTTTATCAATTTTTAAGTTACGAGGCAAGGGATATTTCAACCTTTTGGGAATTGTCAAAATGTAACATTGGCTTACAATTTTTTTTTCATTTTAAAGACATATTTTCCTCTAAGTCATTTTTTGATAAAAAAAAATTTGTGGTGCAATACCAAATCTATTTTGAGGCTATAATTTATTTTGAAGAGAGTTGAATTGCTTAGTCAATCAATATTAATTTTGACTAACTAATGTTTTAAGTGTTTAAATCACTTTTGCTACAGATTGGACCGAAAGCTGGAAGAGCATAATAATCAAATGAAATCAGCAAATTTAAACTTTCCGATTTCCCCGGTTCATAATGCTACAAGGAACCCCTTGACAAACATCAGGCATTTTGAATATCTTATTTAACTACCATTTAAACATTTTTTATTTAATTCTATGTAAATTTTCAATGAATTAGGTCAGCACGGTAAAGTTACATCGTCTATACGCAATATCCCCTCTACTGAACTTCCTACCTACTGCAATATCGGACCTACGACAGCTGTTTTATTTTCTATTATTTGAGGTTTAGGTAAGGCTTAGGGGTTCGAGCGCCGCGGAAAGGACAGGACAGTGGGCCAGGCGCTGCGGCCACATATCCAAGTTACAGTTGTAAAACCACATGCTAGTAGGTGGGAAGTGTAGTATAGTGGATGTTGCGAAGGTCAGAAGTGGAGTATAGTAGATATGCGTAGGTCGAAAGATACACCATCTGAATTATTATCATAAAGCCATGATGAAGATATTTGAGTCTAGTCCAGAAAAGTCAAAGATGGTGGATTTCAACAACGACCTTGCAAAGAATGCCGCTGAACAAGTTGTTTTCAGTGAAGACGATGATGAAGATTTCAATTTAGCATTACAGCTTAGGTAATAACAATTCAGACAAAACCATCGTTGTAATCTTATATCAATATTGTTTTCAGCCAACAAGAGTTCGAAAATGAAGAGCTAAAACGGAAAAGGTCCCTTGACGACCCTCCATCTTCATCCAATAAGTTAAGAAGAAGTTTGAGTTCACCTGAACCCTGCGGATCTAATTCTTTGGAATTATCTGACAATGGCATTTATTCACCTCACGCTTACAGTCCACAATTCTCATTCTCTCCTAAACCTAGTTCGTCGCCTGAACCTCAGAAATCAAAATATTCTCCAAGTGTTTCTGGTTTTCCATATTCTAGACAATCAAATTGCTTAAAATCTCCGAATTCTCCGGTAGCAAGTTCCTCTCGCTACTCTAAGTATAAATCCTCAAAACTCGAAAACACAACAGAGATTCCAAGCAAAGTTAAATCCGCTAAGAAAATTCTTCTTTCTTCTGTGTTTGAAGAAGAAGATGGGACATCCGTAGAAGAACAAGAGAAGAGTCAAGAAGATAGAGATTTTGAACTGGCACTTAGGTGAGGGGTGAATTTCAATTACATTTTTTCTTAGAAAATCAATTTATAAAACAAAACAAAAATCTTATCAAAATTTTCTAGCTTTCATGCATAAATTTCTTTAAAATCCACTGAACAAATATCAATCGGTAAATGTTTAGATTGAGCCAAAACGGAAATCAACACATTTCAGATTTAGAAGTTTCACTACAATCGCAGGTATTTTTCATCTTGCCCCTAAACACACACCTAATTTTCAAACATTAATTTAAGTTTGGAAAGATATTTTTTATTTTAACTGTTTTCCTATTCTAGGAGGACAAAGATGAAGATTTTGAGTTTGCTTGTAAACTCCAGGAACAGTTTAACTCCGAGCTGGTTGCAGAAGTTAGAGGTACGGAGAGTAGAGGCCTGAATGTAGGCATAGTGGATAGAGACCTCAATGGAGGTATGGAGAGTAGAGACTTAAATGGAGACATAAATGGAGGTATGGAGTTAAATCTAGGTATTGTCTTTAAGACGTATTTACTTTTATTTTTCAAATAGATATCAATCATTATAGTTAAAAAATTCTGAAAATTCTGACTTTGATTATCGTTTAGATAGTTCCAGTCCAACAAGAAACAGAAAGTACATAACAAGGTATATTTACTTGAAGGTATTTAACTATTTAACTGTTTTTTTTCTCGAACAAATTTGAGAAAATTTTCTCCTGAGGGTTTTTAAATGGCACATTAGGTTAAAAGGCAATTTATTTTAATGAAACACCTAACCATGATTTTCCTTTTCCCTTGTTATTTTTTCAAGAAATTAATAAATGCATGTTTAAATCGAACTAGAGCCGAGATTATTTATGATTAATTGATCTATTGGTCAAATCCTCGAACCTCTAACCTTAAAGAAATCAATCAACCAAGAATTAACCGGTTGAACATCTTGGTGAGCAATCGTGTAATCGCATAAAGAGAGGTTTTTATGCTTCACTGTTCTTCGCTTAAAAGTTTGTTTTTTTGTGTCAATAGCCAATGAATTTCAGATAAATAAAATATTATTTTTCTCAGTTATTAATGATTTTATTAATTGTTAAGTGGTTCTCCTGCAAGTCCAGTTTCTCGCTCAAACTTGAGAAAAGAAGGAGAGAGTTTAGTATCTCAGCTGCTAGCCAACGATCCTGTGTTCAACCCCATAGAAAGAGGAAGGGGGAGAGGTGGTAGAGGAAGAGGTAGGAATATTGGGGGAAGGTGGCATGTTTCACGAAAATCTTTTTTCCCTAGAAGTTATGGCTTGCGCGGAACGCAAATTTTTTAAATATTTTTATTCGTTGAAATAGGTGAAAATTTATGAGTTATGGGGAAATTTTAGGAATTTTTGATGAAAAAGTATTAAAAAGAATAAAAAACTTCTCTTTTGATGTCAAATTTTTTTTATTTAGATCATCATAAATCATTCTTATAAATATACACCTCTGTTCCACAATCCACACCACTCGTTGAGTAGATAAGAAATTACAAGAAAATTACAAAGAAAACTTTATTTTGGTATTACGTTATTTGTCCTACAATCTTTTGTTTTACAATTATTTGTCCTACATATCAGTTCTCTGATCTGAAAAGATACATATTTACGGAAAGTTTTCTGATCCTATGAGAGGAAGCAACTTCATTTTTAAATAACAAAAACTATTGATAAATTTTTATTTTATTTTTAACATCTAAGTCAAAAGAGCAGTATTAACATTGTTATATATACAAATGTATAAATTGTATAATTATTAAAATTTCTGAATATATTTATTAAGTTGAGTAAAATTGAAGTAAACTATATATGTCATTATAATATACTATTAAGCATGCGAAAAAGTTTTTGCCGGGATTTTTACTTTTTCTTGTTTGTGTGAGATTAAATTGAAAGTATTTTTACACCGACCGTAACACTTGATAATACCCATTACAATGACATAAATAGATATATTTTTATTTTTTCTACATTAAAGGAATTATTTATTTACTCATAATTCATTTTATATTTTTATTCAACTACAAAGCACGAGATAATTCAAATAAAAATCACAATTTACTATCGAGTTTGGACCCGGCTAAAAATAAGGCTTAATTGCATGAAAGTTTAAAACTTGATTTTCTTTAAATTCCAAAAATCATTGTTGTAAGGCAGAGGAAAGGCGAGGATAGATGACCCTGGAAATTCCACCTCAGATTCCATTCCTGGTCCTAGCCGCAGCACCAACCCCAGTTCTGGCACCGGTTCCCTTATTTCCCAACTACTGGCCAAAGATCCTGTTTTTAATCCTCGGGCTCGTCGAGGCCGCGGGGGTGGAGCCCGAGGTCGAACTAAGAACTCCTCTGCACTCTCCGATATTGGTCTGGAGGTTGATGATGAGGATGGTGGTGATGGTGAAGAGGATGGTGGTGGTGGTGTAGTTTCTCAAGGTGGAGAGAAGAAGAAGAAGAAGAAGAAAGGACGGGAGTATGTTCCTAAGTATAGAAGTGGAGCATATGCTGTACTAGTCGCTCTCTATCAGCAATCCAGGGTAAGGTTATTAAAGATGATTTTTACTAACCAAATTAATTCAATTTATATAGTAATACACTAATTTTAAAACCAATTTAGCTTTGAAATAACCGTGTATTTTATTGAGGAAAGTATAAAAGAAAAAGATGCCTTTCAAGGAAGGAAATCTGATGAATCTTTGTTAAGAGAGATGATTATATCGGCTATATGATGAAACCGGATTTGCAGAAGCATGCCCAACCACTTAGCGATCAATCATTTTCACTCAAAAACGCGCATTCTGAGTTTTATACAGCTTGGTCAAGTGTCAGGTTAGAAATACTTGTTGAAAGTCAAATAAAGCTTAAAAAGATAAGAAAAAAATTGCTTTATTTTTATTCAGACCAATTCTGTATCCTGTAAAACCACATAGTTTGTAACATTGCGCGACTTGCTACCATATTTGTCTAAAATTATCTGCCAAATAAATGATATTTCGCTAAAAAATTATTATATGTTGGGAGACGGATAAAGAATAGATTAATAATTAGATGATGTTTTAAGGTTCATTGTAATTCTATTTTAGTACGCTAACGAAGCACGCCCTGATCTCGAAGTGGTCGAATCCGTGCAAGTACAATATCACAGAGAAGGGTGTCTTACTTGCTGCTAGAATATTATCTGTGGAAAACAATGAATATTCACAAAATATCTCAGGTTAGTTTATTTGTCAAGAAACGCATTTTAGTTGCAACAAAATAAACATTTTCTCGAAAAAACATCCCTCCTTGTTTGAAAATATTTTTTCCCCTAAGATGTTAGGTATAGCTGACGAGTGACGATTATCTTCTTTAAAAAAGTTTTGGAACACCAGGAAAAAATAAGTTTAAAATTAAAACTTTTCCTTTTGAACAGATTCGCATGCCAAAAGGCGTAATTTTTTTACTTTATGTGTTTTAAACCTTTTAAAAAAAAATTATCGTCAGCCTGTATAGAATATTAATTCTATGCTCTAAAGCACATATAGTGTTTTTTTTTTAACAAATGATAATTTAGGCAATTCAACAAGAAGAAAAGAATCCCCGTCAACCTCAACTCAACTGGGGACCTCTTGTCAACTTGGGACCTCCTGTCAACTTGGGACCTCCAGTCAACTTGGGACCTCTTGTCAACTTGGGACCTCTAGTCAACCTGGGACCTCCAGTCTACCTGGGACCTCCAGTCTTCCTGGGACCTCCAGTCTACCTGGGACCTCCAGTCTACCTGGGACCTCTTGTCAACTTGGGACCTTCAGTCTACCTGGGACCTCCAGTCTTCCTGGGACCTCAAGCCGAACCAGTGAAGGCAATTTTGATATTAATCTGACAGATTTAAGCTTTTCGGACTCATTCTCTCTTCCTCCTGATGACCAGGAGAAAGCTTCAGGTTCAAACTTCTCCGGAGCAGATTTGAGAGGTCCGGGTTCCCTCAGATACTTGACAGATTTACCAGATGAGGTTCTTAACCCTGTTCATAAACTACAGAAGAATTTGACTGTTTGTGAAGCTATGAGTGCTCCAAGACAGAATAGGTAGGAACAAAAAAAAACATAATAGACGCGATTATTAGGTAGTTAGATGCTGGTATATGGGTAAGGTAGCAAATGGAACAAATTGAATTATTGCTTTTGATGTAAACTTCTTTTCTTGATTGTTTTTGAAGTATTTAAAGAAGGAATCAAAAAGAAATAAGCCAAAAAGTTTAATTTCAAAAATGATAATGCTAGTCCTTTAAATTCTAATAATGTGTTTAATGATTGATTGATTGATTAGGAATAACTCTGAGTTTACTTTAAAACGCGGATCCTTTGATATTCTGCTGTGTGTTGACAACACTGAAATAACAGGAGGAGGAGCAGGGGGAAGGAAAACATTAAAGCAGGTGAGCGCTGCGAGAAGGGAGGAATTCCAACCACAATAATTTTCTCGTCCGAGCAACCTCGAATTACTCTTCCTTCCAATATTATAACAAAAAAAAAAGAGTTTTAAAAAATATTTGTATCTCCAAAGGTTGAGCATAAAAAACAATATTGGAAGGACAAGGATTTCGAGGTGACTTTGATGAGAAAATTAGGTTAATGTGACTCGGACGAGATATTGTTGTGGTTGGCCTTTCTCCTCTCACTGTGACGTTAGGATAGGGATCAAGAGTGATAACCATGCATATTGACGTCAGATTTATTTTTTGATGTTATGAGCTGGGGTAATTAGTAATTATTTAAATAATAATTATATCTTGACAAGCTAAACACTTTTACCCGTACCTGTCAGCGGCCTGGGGGTAGTTGGTTCGTTTTGGGGTAATTTTTTTCCTTTATTTTTTCTGGTTCAAAAATTGGCATTGTGTTAGAAAAGCAAACGTTTTTTGAACACCTTTTTTATCTATGTCAAATTTCGACCCTGACAGAAGATAAATGCAAAAAACGATTCAAAAATGTTGCAAAGGATAGAGATATTGCGAAGTTTAATAAAAGCAAACTTTACAACCTAACACAGTTATCTTGTAAGTTTTGTTCAATATTTTTCCAAAACGATCCATAACGATCAACAACACAACCTGGGGGGGGGGTCATCATTTTGATAGGGTCCTTTTGGAATTTCAACTCATTATTGTCCTGATCAATAGATTTTTTCCGCATAAAAATATCTTCAATTTTTTTATTTTTTAACATTCCATCAGTCTTTGAATTTATGAAGTTTGACATTATTTTTCTAAAGAAAATACTTCTGATCAGATACTTTGAATATTGACTGGCGTGACCAAAAATGAATTTTCTTTATCTATCAGGAGACAGTCCGCCATCTTGAATCGTGTAGTGTACAGTATGACCGGCGTAATCTCAATATCGGGGATTTTCTCTGGATTGCCAGGGAGAGAGTTCAACCTATTCCAGGTAAAGCTTACACATGATTGTTGAACTTTTTCAGTGTACAAAAATACACTTAGGTCCGGTAGAAGAAAAAATATTCGATTGATCAAATAAATTGAAAAAAATCTGTCTATTGTTTCAGACAAATTTCAAACTTTCTTACTTTTTCAAGTTTTGGTGCTACATACCTCTTGTTGATATAAATCGGTATGGAAATGTTCCATAGATTTTAAAAATATCAAAAAAAATTAATTGAACCATGATCAGTGCTACAATGTCTAAAAGATAGTTTTTTGGATACTAGTATTTTTTTGCCTCAAATTCTTATTTTCTAATTCATAGTCGTAAAATAACTTGATTTATCAGAATTCATAGTATAAAATATTATAGGTTGCATAGATTAAAGGATAAGAAACCAGGGGTGTATATTTTGTTTTGTGAAAAATCATTCCCCTCCTTTTTTTGAAAATCATTTTATCCCCAGAAATTAGAAATGTTTAAGGGCTTTGTTCGCTGAATTGGGGAATATAAATATTTTTTCTGGGGAAAAAATAAATTGTTGGGTAAACAGTACGAAAAAGGATGAAAAAACTTGCCCTCCAGTTTTTTCTCCAGATCCTCAAAAAACATCATCCCCCCAGGTGGGGAATTATTCTTAAATATATACACCCCTGTTAGAAAATAAGAGAGGCTCTAGTAATAAGTTCTTTAACGGTAAACTTTTCACAAACAATTAACAGAGAAATGTTAACCAGGGCAGTTCCAACAGCGTGCACCGAGAGAACTGGTTCTCCCTTTTCTAGTGGAAAGAAAACGTTTAGGTAATAACTCAAAGAGACTAATTTCATGTGTCCCTCCATTTAAAAACGAGCATACCCGATTCACATCAATACCCTTTTATTTGATCAAAAATGTAGAAGATTTTGTCGTTTCTCTGGCTTAAAAATTTGTAGTTCTGACAGTTTCTTTTTTTAGTTCTGAAGCAGAAATGCGTCAATTTACAGAGAAATTAGACACATTCAAACAGACGAACAAACCAACGCCCAAAAAACAAGCGAGACAGCATTTGCCGATTTTAGTAATTATTACTTGTGATAAGTTACTTGGTAACTTACATTTTTTTCTTTTTCTTCCATGTTTATACAATTTCTTCTTTACAAAAGACGGTAAGGTTACATCGTCTTTACGCAGTATCCCCTCCAGTCTCCTCTGAACTTCATGAGCTTCTAAACTTTCGACCTACTGCGATATAGGACATACAAAAGCTGTTTATTTTGTACTATTAGAGGGTAAGGTTAGGTATGTTAGCCGGGCGCTGTATCTAGGACAGGCGAGGGGGCCGAGCGCTGCGGCCACCTATCCTACCAAATGCTGTAAAACCATTTGTCAGTAAGTCTTAAGTGTAGTATAGCGGGTGATGTGTACAGGTCAGAAGTGTGTGAGGTTACACGTAAGATACTTAATCCAATAAACAGTAGTACTAGTATTCTTCTAAAATTTAATATTTACGGTATGAAGACGACCTGTGGAGTAGTGTAAAGGATGGAAGATACGAAGAACAGAAGTTTAGAATGAAATCCAGCGGATTAACTCATCTCTATTATCTTATAGAAGATTTCTCTGTCCAGAAACAAAACTGGGGACAGGTAAATTCAGATCAAAATGCAACAAATAAAAGTTTCTATTTAAGTTTCTGGTCCTCTGTGACTTCCGGCCGTACCTATCATAGTAACCACAAAGGATGAGACTGTAAAGACGATCAGAAATTCTTGACATTTGTAGATTCCACGCGTAAATTCAGCCAATTGTGCCTTTAAAAGTATATTATTTTTTTATGATTTGGCAAAGAAAGAAACAAGTTAACAGTTAATTGCTGGGATTCTTGAATATAAAGAAACAGTAAAAATTCACTTTTAGTCTTATCCTGTACGTAAGGGATGGATGTATGTAAGAGACCGGGTGGGCCGAGCCATGGTTATTGTATATGGTATATGGTATATTCCGAATGGTGGTCAGGGTTCAGCTTTCCTATCTTATTTTTTGTTTCTTAATTAGGTTTCGGGTTGAATTGGATCAATTTTAGTCATCTTAATGAATCTTTGTTTCTTGGGGAAGATTTTTTATTTCTTATTAATACCTTAATTTCTTAAAGTTTTTTTCCCCCGTGTAAATTCTACAATTCATCTAGTTACCCTGTAATCCCTGTAATGTCTAAATCTATTCCTCTCTCTCACTGTTGGTGTAATAAAAGGTTAGATTTAAAAAATATCCAAAAATGTTGTTACAGGCGCGTGGAGGGATGGTGACTGAAGCTGCCATTAACCAGGTAGATACTCTAAATAACTCCTGTATGTGGATATTAAGATCAATACTAAATCTAAATCTTTTGTAAAACTACAGATTAAACAGCCAATCAGAAGCCAAGGAATTTTGTGTTCATCCATTGAGAAAACAGAGAGATTCAGATATATACAAAATCAAGATATCAAGCAGAGTAGCTGCGTTAAATTCAATAGTGCCCACTGTAGATATCAATATTGAGCGATCGGGATCATGGGTATAGGTAGTTCATTTCATGGATCGGGGTAAAAAAAATGTCGAGTCCGGATTAAAGAATTTATGCCCAAGGATTTTAAAATCTTTAAGAGACAGTGAAAGCTAAAAAAAATTTAAAGTAATCACCATAAAACTTAATTTATGAATTGGAAGACAGAATCTATTAAATGTATGTTTAAACTGGTTTTAGCTTGATCAGGACAAGGAAGTAAACAATAATAAAGATGGTTTAGGCAATAGCAAACACTGCAGTACAGGAGGGATTTTCTGTTGTCCGGACCAAAGATCAGAAGGGTACAATTGAGTACTTAACACTGTTCACAAGGAAATAAAACAAAGTTAAAATTTGATAAATGATATTTGTAATTTAGCAATTTCCCAATTTTTACTGGTTGAAAACAATTTTCCCAATTTAACTTTTAGACATCAAATTGAAATACCTCAATCTATATTCTCGGTTTTGTAAACAAAATATTTAACTATTTTCATTTATTTTTATTTCTTTCAATTTCTCGACTTTGATTTGTCTGTTGGTAGGTTGCTAGAAAATAAATACAGTGCACTGGATTTAAAAAGTTGTACTCAGGTAGGATGGTGTACTGCACTATACTGTACTGTACTGAACTGTACTGTACAGTACATTGATTTAATTTGAATAGAAAAAACGAATTGCACTGTGTATAACTGCGTACATAGTGTGCTCATTTTACCTATAGGAGTCCGGGTAAGTTTGCTACAAACATAAAAGCAAGCATAAACTCTTTCTTCGGCTCATCTCAGTTAGCATTGATTGTCTATCTTATATAAATTTCAGGTGGACAGTTTAATAAGGATACAACCGTGAACTGAAAACACAATATATCAGTTCATGGTTATGTTAATTGCATACGGCAATAATATTGGTAGCCATAAATAATAACTTTTCTCCAGGTTAAAAGTTATTTAAATTCATATAAATCAAAAGTTCTCTTACAATGTTGATTTGTCCGGAGGTTTGCAGCCTATAGTCTCGGGTACGAAATCTAATAATGAGCTTTTTATAGTTGAGTTGAGATTTTCATATGTCTTTTCAAATATCCTTTTTCAGGACCAGGTAATAACTTTCTCACATTGATCATAAGGATCGTAATCTAGATTAGTAGTATTTGATCTAGAGGAGGACCATTAGATCAGGGATACAGTATCAGGATGTAGAATATCCTGTTCAGGGTCCTTCCGTCGGAGGTATTAGAGGGGAGCAGGACAACAAAGATTAATAATTTGCATGTTTTAAGACTAATTGTAGGTTTGATGTATTAGTTGAGATTTGTTGGATTAGTAGAGTGAAGCTAGGATTTCTCTGTTGAACGATCTGGAGAACTTCTTGACGTTGAACGCCCTGAACACAATAGTTTATAAAAGATACTCAGAGATGGAATTTAAAGAATTTGAGCCACGGTTTAAATTCGCCAAAATCCGCCAAAACCCGGTTTAAATTTAGCGCCGGCTTAAATCTTGAAACATTTGATATGGAACCAACCATATTTAAGCCGCGGCTTAAATTTAAACCGCCGCTCAAATTCTTTAAATTCGGCCACCGATCTTACATATAGTATATTTATTTCACTGAAAAACTGCATGATTACACTAAATACACGAAATTGAAAATAGCTGGTGGTAATGTTCTCATATTTTGTTTACGTTTTTTTAATTTAGGTTGATCTATCCGAAGGTTTGGTGACTGATAGAGATCATACCCTGTTAACCTTTCAGGTCAAATTCTCAATCATAACTCCTCTTGTTGAAGAACTTTTGAGAAGCACAAAAATAATTTGAATCTATAATGGATTTATCTAGGTAAATCTATGTCTTTCTTATACTGGTGCGTAAAATGAAAACTAAAGGAGCTATTAGGTTACAAAGTTGGACTAGTAATGTTGCAAGAATTTGATCGTCTTCTTCTTTCAAATTCACAGTGAATTATGCATTGACGATAGATTAATTAAATATAAAGAATGAGAACTATGAAATAACTTAATTCTCATTAGGAGATGAATAATAGTTCGAGAAAAAACCGCAAGATGTCTCTGAAGGAAATATTTGCCAAAATGCTACTAAAACTTAAGGTAAATTCTATTACTATTTCTGTTTTTAACTACATTTACAAAAGATAATTAAAAAAAATAGACCTTCAAATAAATGCTCTGTTAGGGATTGACTGTTGATATGGCACAGGGAATTGTGGAAGAATTTAAGACACCAAAACTGTTCAGGTTTGCTAAAATTACATTAATTGCAAAGATTAATAGAACTAAGGAGTGGGGTATAGGGTAGGGTGTGTCTAAAGAAGGGCTATATTGTATACATTAAAAAATACTTTTTGCAACCTTGTAAAGTCTATTTAAGTTAAAAATTTGAAATTTACTTTAGCTACAATTTTAAACAAAATTGTGCCATGTAATTTAATTGTTTTTATTTAATGCATCAATATTGTTGATAAGTATAATATCAATTTTCTACATTCCAGTGCTTTAGAATATAATATACTCTGTATGTAAATGTGATATATGCAACCATATGAATATCATGACAACAATCGGAAATTTTCTTATATACTCCACCAGGAGTCCTGAAAATAATCCTAACATAAACACATAAACATATTTGATTTTCCAGAGATGCTCTTCTTAGTGTAGATTCTCAGCAGCAGCAACTTCAACTCATTCAGGTAATTGTAGAGGATACTTATAGCGACACCAACAAACCAAATCAGAGAACTGTATGCACAGGGATACCCACGAAGGATAAGATTGTACAGACGACTTGAAACTCGTGAAATATGACGATTCCGAGGCTAAGTTAAGTTTTCTGCCTAAAGTATAATCTTTTTATGGCTTATTTAATGATTAGGCAAAGAAAGAAACAAGTTTACGGTAGCAGGGAATCATAAATATGAGGAAACAGACAGTATACATTCTGTACATTCGTCTCGTGAAGTCTCATTCTTTGTGGGTAACTCTGTATTTTAATTGTAAAAAGTAAAACATAATCTTAAAACATGATTTTATATATTTGGTTTGGAAACTATTACTTCTGGACTTAAAGACGACTTACCTGAACCTCCACAACTTAGTCTTGGTGTCAAAATGTCTAAAATGCTAGAAAAAAAGAGGGGCCATTGGTACTTTTAGTGCACTTTACAGCAAGAATTTTAAAGCAGGGTAAAAAAAAATATGTTTTCTAGAAATTTTTGTTAAAATTAAATTTAGCTATGAAAGTGGAAAGTTTGTTAAGACAAATATTGCCTGGGACCGAACTTAATGAATAGACTAAATTGAGTCATTTTTCTTCTGAACCCATTGCCACGGTAACTGGTTGAATTTGTGGTATGTGGTTCAATTACCTCAAGTTATTCATTAAGTCTGGTCCATGTTTAGTTAAAGATCATTATTTGTGGGAGAGGGAGGGGGGGGGGCGGCTTCTCGTGGATTTTCTTATTTAAATTTTCAATCTAGGATATCAGCTATGGGTTGCAGAGTAAGAGAAAGATTCCTAAGGCTCTCGCTGAGGCTCTGCTCAAGTTTTGGACTCAGTTGGATATTTCCTAGTTTTTCTTTAATTTCGTTAAATGTTTTTTTGGTTTAAAAATGTTTTTTCTTCGTTCATCTTTTATTTCGGAGGTCTTCTTTTTTTTCATATAAACGGATATTTTTAAGCCTGAATTTTGTCCTAATTTTGAAAGTTTTTGGTTTTCTGAATTACATAATTTGCATTCATTAGATATAAGTTTCTTTACAAATTTGAATGTAGATAATATTTATACGTAATGATTAAAAGGATATGCACGTATAAAAGAAAACCTGTTTGTGTTGACTCAGAAAAATATGATCTCTAAACGCTGTTATTGAATTCTAAATTGATTTTCTTGTTTCAGAAAAATGAATTTGATTAGAAATGTTACACGAAGATTTGATTACATGGTGGAATCAATTATTTACAGGTTAACATAGTAATTGATTTATTGAAATTAACAATGTTAATTTTTTAATTTCATAAATTAATTCCTAGATTCGTTATAAATTATAATGCCAATGGTATTTATTGTCATTTTAAAAAAGATTTATCTGATGTCAGGGTTATATGATTCTTGAAAAGATATTTTTCGCTTTTCAAAAGTTATTTTCTGCGCTGAATTGAGGAAAATAACAAAATCATGAAGTAGGGGAAATCATTTGAAACTCTAGATAATAAATAAAGAATTAAAAATATACAAATAAATTTTTTAGATTTATGGATCCCGGACTTGCTCTGGTGGCCCCAGTCCCACTGCAAAGACACCTAGTACAGGTTCATTTACGAATTATTAAAGATTGATTCAGTGGAATAAATTTTCTATTAAAAAATTAAACACCAACTGCCCACAGCATAAAGAAATTCAAGCCCCCCCCCCCTTTAAGGGACTTTAAGCGTAATTTCAAGTGACTCTCTACAAAGAGCGCAATTTCAGAGATATAACAGTACCCTTTAAACATTTGTTACTGTATTGGTTTGATAGAGCTGAGCAATATATTGTTTATTATCATGTTTATATTTTCTTCCACCCCACCTACTCGTCCTTTCGTCCAGATTCCCCCCCTCCTGTCACTAAGCTATGGGGAAAATTATGAAAACCTGGCCCCCCCAGATTAATTTTCCCTCACGAGGATTATACTTTTCTATGTGATATTTATATTGTATAAATTCTAATCTTCGTGCAATAAATATTTGATTTGATTTGATTTGATTT